CCATGTTCAAAAGTTAATATTTTTAAAATCTGTTATATGTAGTAGTCTATTGACCAAATTACTTCTTTCAATTACTTAATCTTGTCATGTAAGTTTTGGTTCAAATGAAAGTGTTAGGTTAAATACGCCGCTGCTCTAACCACTTGAACTATCGTGACTTCGAAAGGTTTAGGTTGAGACGGGGAGTTGGTGTCCGAGTGGATCGAACTCACGATAGCTCAAGTGGTTAGAACAACGGCGTATTTAGCCGAAGGTCGTCGGTTCGAATCCCGCTCGTGACACTAACTTTTTCATTTCGACTAAAACCTTATATTAAAAGATTAAGTTAATGTTTATGTTGATATTTTGTAAACTTGTATACGTTATTTCTGTTGTGATGTATAAACTTGCGATTTGAGATAGAAGTTGGCTTGGTCCTGAAGAAGGGCAAGTGGTCGCTTGATGGATGAAGGTCCGACATCCTACGCAGTACTGCCGATGAGCCTCGGTCCCGGGGGATTGCAAGGAATCGCACAACACCTCGGTACGAAAAAGAAAAGCGCCTGTTTCCAGACGGGGGAATTATTCCGGGTCGGGTATCAGTTTAGGAGTCAGGTCGGGGCACGTGCAAAGGACGAACTAGACCAGTCGTGACGCCCCGATCTAGGATGTGATTCAGTCGGTGGTCCTTGAAAGAGGAAGGTTGTTAATTTCGGATTCGGGCGATCCCGACCCCGTAATTCGTAAGAGCGGAGCCGAACTCCGTGTTGTCGGTGGCGATGCAGTCTGGCCTCCGATGTGGAACAGGGAGATGACCCAGATTTCCGGGAGCAAGGCCGTTACAAGGTCAAGCTCCGAACCCGTTCCCGTTCGGGATAATCGCCGATCGCTTCATCTTTCCCGCCCCTTCTAAAATCTCTAAATCCTCGCCTCGTTTTACGAGTTGAGCCGTCCTTCGCATGACTGGCGGAAAGCAATTCCGAGGCGTCTCCGGCGTTTCAGCCGAACTTCATCCTACTTCTTCAGGCTTTTATCTTAAGCGGACCTGTCAGATAATTCTTACAAATATTAACTGGAATAGGAATACCGTTCAAAAATAGCTCTAAAAAATTAACTGGGCTGTTACAAATTTTACGGCCGTGCCAGGATTGAAAAGGCAACTAGAAATGTACAAAAATCATAACATGGCCATGTTTTGTTCATAAAATCGCACCAGTAAGTAATCTGTAACTCAAACCTCTAAACTTTGGCGTGAAGAAAAAACTAAAAATCGATACATGCATAAAAAATGTCCTACAACGATCTGTATAAACGTTGGCTGCCTAGAGATTTAAAAAAAAAATTCGATTGAATATTACTTCACATTTTGACTAATTTTAGCACTCGTTGCGTTTAATTACCTACCAACTAGTAAGAAATACATCAAAACCTACAAATACGTTCATCTTAACGTTTCACTGTCATTTTCCAATAGTTTATTACATGTATTTTTTATCTTATTATTTATTTTATTCCATACATAGAGAAAAACACAAAAAATACAATTTTATAAAAATATTTATTATTATTTTGCATTTAACAATACATAATAATAAAAAATAAATAAATTTAATTAAACAACCAATAACAATATGATAACGCTTATCACTGAACCCTGAGAAGCTTACTGAGGTTACTTACAGTAACGTTACTGAGGAACCGAGTTAATTTGCCTCTAAATCCCGTCTTGAAATTTCCGATGTATCGCATATTTCCACGTGCTTATGCTTTCTTGAGAACGGAATAAATTTAATTTGTAAAAGGGTAAAATTAATTTGAAAAACATCCATTAGTCTTCGTCGGCTAGCTATATTTAATAATAGGAAAACGCATTTTTACCTAATCTATTTCGACATCCGTAAAGAAAAAATGAACATAATACATAAAACTAAATTATTCTAAATTGATAAGTATTGATAAGTATAGCAAAAGTATTTAGTACGCGGTCGGGGTGTTCGAAAGGATCGTGGCTCTACCTAATCTGTACCGACACCATCAACGTGGATACTGCTGTCCGTGACTGGTTTTCCGTTGTGCTCTTGTTGGAGAATACCATGAACTGGAGCGTCTCGGTGTTTTCTGGGTAACTGGACAAATAGTTCTGGAGTAACAAAAAGGCGAATGAGGCGGCTAAGGCCTGGACATCCCAACTTCCGTACTAAACCACCGCGATCATGCTATCTGACGCTAAAAATGCAATAAAATACATGATTAAGAAAATACTTTTTAAAAAGGATAGTTCCTACTCACAGTAAGTTGTTTTGCAACGATCCGGATTTCGNTGTTTATTATGGACAGTTTTAGGTCTAAAAAAATTAAGAAAAGGTAGGAGTGTGGGTGGGCTGGGACAGCAGAGAAGCTCTAATGTTTCAAAAGCGCTGTCGGTAGGTGGCCCTCAGAGGATCTGACTCATCCTCACCCGATTAAGGATAGGCCAAGGACACTTACTTTTGGGCCAAAGCCCGCGTACAATGTGTCCGCCGTCTAGAGAAAGGTTGCTCGATGTATCGCACCTAATCGAGAAGTGCAATTTCTTAACTCCAGTTAGAGAGCGTGTCGATATGTGAGAGTCGAGCTTGAGCACGTCAATGAGTATCTGGGTCCCCTGTTCCAAATTTTGGAGGAAACAGGGTTGTTTTATTTTAAACAGTAATGATAGGATTTTGTGTGTAATTAGAGTGTATACAGACTGAATTTACTTATTAGGTTGAATGTGTAGTGTGACAGGATCTATGGCGGATATAGATTACCCCATCGACACTCAATTAGGTTAGTTATATAATACGTGTAAAAGGTGATGAAACAATATCGATAACTCCACCACCCTAATTGAACGAATAGGAGTAAATAGGAGAGAATGTATTTAAGAAGGAATTTGAGTTTGAATGGGTTTGGAACTGCATGTGTTGGGTCAATTTAATTTGCAAAAAGATAAATTTGATTTGTAAAAAGGTGAATTTAATTTGCGAAAGGGGAGTTTGATTTATAAACGGGTTATTTAAATCGCAAAAGGATGAATTTGTTTTCTACAAAGGTGAATTTGGTTTGCTAACGGGTAAATTTAATATGTGAAAGGTTGACTTTGTTTTATCAACGTGTGAATTTATTTTGCAAAAAGATAAATTTGATTTGTAAAAAGGTGAATTTAATTTGCAAAGAAATGTATTTTATTTGTAAATAGTGAAAGGGTGACTTTGTTTTATCAACGTGTGAAATTATTTTGCAAAAAGATAAATTTGATTTGTAAAAAGGTGAATTTAATTTGCAAAGAAATGTATTTTATTTGCAAATAGTTGAATTTAATTTGCAAAAGGGTGATTTTGATTTGTAAAAAGGTGAATTTTCATTTCAGAAATGGGGAATTTGATATGCAGAGTACAGAGAGAGACATACAGAGTCCATTTAATATTCAAAACGATGAATTTTATTAGTAAAAATGTGAATTTGATTTGCAAATAGATGAATTTTATTTGTAATGAGGTGAATTTAATTTGCAAAATAGTGAATTTTATTTCTAAAAAGTTTAATTTACTTTGCGAAAAGGGAGTTTGATTTATAAACGGGTTATTTAAATCGCAAAAGGATGAATTTGATTTGCTAAAGGGTTAATTTAATATGTGAAAGGGTGACTTTGTTTTATCAACGTGTGAATTTAATTTGCAAAAAGGTAAATTTGATTTGTAAAAAGGTGAACTTAATTTGCAAAGAAATGTATTTTATTTGTAAATAGGTGAATTTAATTTGCAAAAGGGTGATTTTAATTTGTAAAAAGGTGAATTTTAATTTCAGAAATGGGGAATTTGATATGCTGAGTACAGAGAGAGACATACAGAGTCCATTTAATATGCAAAAGGATGAACTTTATTAGTAAAAATGTGAATTTTATTTGCAAAAGGATGCATTTTATTTGAAATGAGGTGAATTTAATTTGCAAAAAGATAAATTTGATTTGTAATGAGGTGAATTTTTTTGCAAAAGGAGACTTTTATTAGTAAAAATGTTAATTTTATTTGCAAAAGGATGAATTTAATTAGTAATGAGGTGAATTTAATTAGCAAAATAGTGAATTTGATTTCAAAAAAGTTTAATTTAATTTGCGAAAAGGGAGTTTGATTTATAAACGGGTTATTTAAATCGCAAAAGGATGAATTTGATTTGTAAAAAGGTGAATTTAATTTGCAAAGAAATGTATTTTATTTGTAAATAGTTGAATTTAATTTCCAAAAAGGTGAATTTTCATTTCAGAAATGGGGAATTTGATATGCAGAGTACAGAGAGAGACATACAGAGTCCATTTAATATTCAAAAGGATGAATTTTATTAGTAAAAATGTGAATTTGATTTGCAAAGAAATGTATTTTATTTGTAAATAGGTGAATTTAATTTGCAAAAAGATAAATTTGATTTGTAAAAAGGTGAATTTAATTAGCAAAAGGCTGAATTTAATTTTCAAAGAAATGAATTTTATTTGTAAATTGGTGATTTTAATGAATTCAACTTACAAAACGGTGATTTTGATTTGTAAAAAGGTGAATTTTAATTTGAGAAATGGGGATTTGATTTGTTACAGAGAGCCCAATTATTTTCCAAAAGGATGAATTTGATTTGTAAAATCATTCAATATTCAAAAGGTTAAATTTCTATTCTAGAAGTTCAATGGTCTGAAAGGTCAAAACAGCTAAGATATTTTGATCAAAACTATGCAGACCACATGCAAACAAAAAATTGAATGTTTGTAAAACAATTTTATAATACGATTTCCTAAGTTTAGAAAACAACTGTTTAGGATCAATTCATGACTGGGAAATATGCTATGACCCAATCCTTTAAATGTTATTTTCATTTACAATGACAGTAAATAGATAAAATTTTGACAAAAATGACTCATATATGTACCTATACTCTTTACAGTTTTCACACTTTATTTTTTCAATTGTCAAACCGGATGGGACTCTAATGAATTTTGCTGTTTTTTGTTACAGGAAGTGGTGAAGAGAAGGACAGGGGCAACGGCGAGACGTGCCGCTTCCGAGGAGAGACGTTCAGCTGTTCGTTCAGTCTCGCTTGTTGGCTGATCGGAGGCCGGTCGGAGGGCGGGTGCGAGTCTTCTTTTCCCTTCTCGTCCTGGCTTTTCGCGTGTTGCGTCCCACCGAAGGCACTGCGGGATCCGCCTAAGATCCAGAGGCGGAGGGACTCTGTCAACCGGCTAAACGGCCACAACTGTAAGAAACATCGAATTGTAGTTTTAGCATCACTCGATTGCCTGCAGACTAGGTGACACAAGATGGTGGTTTTATTTTATTTTCCGATTTTCTTTTCGCCTTTTAGCGACCACACACGTTGCAGTTTTTAGGATTTTCCTACCCTGTATGGGGGACGAACAGCGGTACTAGTAAATGACTTCCGGTTTCGTGTAGTACGTCCCGCCCCGGGGGCACTGCGGGATGTCGGCTCGTCCGGGCGTCTAATCGCTCGGCAAAATTGGCCGGAAAACGTTTTTACAAGTGGGCCGAACTTCTTGTGTCATATCTGGGTGGCCGGTGGAAAATTAAACACCTTTCACCTGTAAAAGGAAATTAAAAATCACAGCGCCCCCGGCAGACCGAATTTGAAATGTATGCCAGCCCGAGAATGTTCTTTACCCGAGTGCACTCATGAAAACAAAAATAAATCAATATTTTTTTATGCACTACCAGAAGCAACTTTCCTTACACCAGTATGTAAAACACGACACACCAAGATGTTTTTTCAGTCTTTCAACAGAAAAAATTTCGTTGACATAACATGCACAAAAACCGACAAAACTACAATTCGACGTATACAAAAATATTGATCGGTAATAGCAAAAAGCTGATTCAACGTGGCAAAAGGTACTTGACGGATTGATGGAAAATCACACGGACCCCACTGAATGATGCGTTTGACAGACCAAAAGAGCAAGAAGGCAGACCAAGCCTATATAATTGTTTCATTCATCTTGAAATTTTTGCAGCATTGCAGGTGGTATGCGGCCGGCCGGCGATGATGCTGCAAAAAAGGATCATCGGCGGCTCGGAAGCCTATTTCGGCGAGCTTCCGTGGCAGGCGCACCTGAGGATCGCCGGGTACCAGTGCGGAGGCGTCCTGGTGTCCAAATTTTTCGTACTTACAGCTGCACACTGCGTCCATAGGTAATCGAGAAACAAAATACATTATTCATTATATACAAAAAGTTTTGATTATAAATGTTAAAAGATATTAAGCACACTATTGAGAATGATCGATACCGCAGAACCTTTGATACTGTATTTTTGAATTTTATGTGAATAAAGAAAAACAAAGATATCCAGGAAAATTGAAGAAGTGAATTCTCTGCTTCTTACTCATGACTAGGGCTGTGAAATATATGCATTTGCATATTTTTCCTGGTTAACTAAAATATCCAGTTTTAACAAACTGTATATGTTTTGAAACATTTGAAATCAATTTAAGCTATATTTATTTTGAATATTTGCGCATATATTGCCATAAATGCATATTTTTGCATAAGTGGGTTATAACTGCATATTTTCTTTACATATCCGGCATATCGGTATTTGGCACGTCAAATTTTAATGTTTCAGAGCAGGCAAAAAGAAAAATTCTCCGAAAAGAGCTACGGTCTCCCATTTTTCCGTTTCCACATAATGAACGAATTTGTGTTTGTTCAGTTGCTGCTCCACCGCTTTCGGCCGCCTTAGCTTCTCTTGGTATAAATAAAGAAAGGAATAGTGTTGTACCACTGTAAAAGTTCTCTTGGAATAGTATAATTGGATTCATAGAAATATTACGACCTCAGTTCTCTTCTTTCCCTACCATCATAATTCTCAGTTTTACCAAGTCTCTCATGCGTTTTCCATCATGAAACATTATTTGTGTGTTGTATGGTATGGTATGGTAAATTGGATACTAGGAAGCGGGGTTTGTGCTACCCAGGGACTGCAGCCTTTTGGCTTATTGTACCTCCTAGTTCCTTAGTTCAGTGCGATAGACTCAATCCTTCTCCTTGAAGTATCAGGTCATTGACTGTCGCTGCTGTAATTTGACTCCCTAAGTTTTTTCCATATGTTAGGTTAAATCTCCATTGAGCTGTTGCTTCACATTCGAAGATGATATGGGTGGCTGTTTCCTCCTCCTCATTACATAATCTGCAGATGGGATCATCGTTGTATATGACCATGTTGTGTAGATGTTTTCTCAGATGCCAATGACCGGTTAGTAGTCCTACACTCCTCTGAGTATGGCCCACATTTGTGGGTTGTGAACTGAAGACTCCAAAATGCCAAAAATCACAGCAAAGATCTTGTTCAAAAGAATATAGTGAGTTTTCAAGTGAAACTTTTAAAGGACTATGCAGATGTTTTATACTGTGTTTGTTGTGATAAACCTGTATCAACAGCTACACGTTGTTTGGTAGGACAGCACATAAAGACAGCAAAAAACAAGGAAAACAAAGGTAGGAAGTCTAAGTTTCAACAAACCTTTGTGACACAAGCAGCCACAAGAGCTGACCGAAAAGTCCGGTTTCGACACCGATTTATGTCGTTCTTTAGTTAGAGCTGACATACCCGTCCATAAACTAAGCCACCCTGAATGCAAGGTTTTTTTTGAGAAATACACAGGGAAAACCGTTCCCCACGAAAGTACCCTCAGTCTTATATACAATGAAACACCCCATAAAATCAGAGACTTCATCGAAAATGGACCGATCTTGGTCTCGATGGCTGAGACGAAGGATTTTTTAAATTTAACTTTTTTTAATGCGTTTTTCTTTTTTAATATTAGCAATGTGATGTTCCTCTTGCCACTGTTTCTCTTTCCAATTATGTGCTTTAATTTAATGTTTCCTTATTTTTTTCTCATGGCAGTTTTCGCATATTTTCAGTATTAAATTTCAGTTTTTACCAAATATATTTACATATATATGTGCATATTTGTCTGTTTTTATTGCATATAAATCACAGCCCTACTCATGACCATGGCGTGATAATCCACCAGAACAGTTAAAAATATTCTGTTTGTGATAAATAAGTCCATTGAATATTATTAATACATTCAATCTTTACAGAAAGAGCAATTTAGCCATTTTTTCCTCCACTTGAGCACACGAGCCCAGGTCTTTCACCTTATTTACGTAAGGAAATTGACTGTGAGAATTAAATAGAATAAAAACAACCAAGGAAAGGCTGCCGTGTCCTGGCGAAGTACCGGTGTGTTAAGTAGGTTGGTGGGATCGCGATACCATTTTCCAAGGAAAGTTGAATAAAAAAAAATACATCCCACACCTTAAAGCAGTCTTCCGACACAATTTATATACCAGACCGGGCGTCGACAAGTTTTTAAATGTATTATATTACCAGTGATGTTATCAATCAGTATTCATAAAACATCATTATAAGAACGAGATCGATCTTTTTTGCTACTGCTTCACCAAGTGTGACGGTTAATGGTCATCGGTGGGTAGTCGTTTTTGCTTCCGTCCTCTGTCATCATAACATCGTCAGTGTAATCCCATACTGAATTAGGTATGCAAACCTAAGGTTGCTTGGTCTAATGACGTGTAGGAGGTGAAGGAAACATGCGGATGTAGGAACAGGAACAGTGAACCCGAAACATAAAGCAAGGATCGATAAGGTAGGGCAAAAGTGAGGAGATAATGGTAATCACTCACTGAACATAAGAAATCCACGAATCTTTTTGCGAGATTTAAATGAACAATAAATGACATAAATGAATGGAAAGCAGCATCAAAGCTAAATGTTTTTAAAACGATTGGCATCAACACGTAGACTGCTTAGAAGCCGAGAAAACCCCAGGATACATGTTATCTTAGACTGTGGGGCTTCGGTTTTGGGTGTTAATATACAACAGTGGAATATGTACAACCGTGACAAATAATCCAATTATACGATTTAGAAGTGTACAAAAAGAACGAAACCTGGGCTACATGGCTCATAAAGGGTGCGGTATAAAATAAAACCCTAAAATCACAATCAATCTATGCAAAAAATTCGACAGTGTTTTCAAGAGATCTATGCTAATGTTTGGGGTAGAATAACAGAGGTTGGCCACAATATTTTCTTATGTAAAAATGCATAATTTTTTATCCGGCAAAAAACTAGAACAAGAAACTGGGCCGTCCGGATGGACTTGATTCCTACGTTTTGACGACTTGCGAGAACAGTTTTACTTGGGGATTTTTCTATAGATTGTGGATCGGGCTAGATGGAAAAGTCCGAACGGGACGGTCTAGTTGATGTAGAAAATGGTCTGTTCCATGTCTTTTATTTCGTCTGTCTTCTGCCTCGTTAACCGAACACAATCTCAATTATCCTTTGTTCTTTTTTCTCTCCTTTAGGGCGCATTTACGTGATATACTGATCTACCTTGGAGAACACGACACGCAAAACACCGGACTCATTCCTGAACCGTATCCGGAAGAAGTGCACAGGGTGGTGCAAAAAATCGTCCACCCTAATTTCCAGTTCAGGAGATCTCAACCGGACAGGTATGCGCATCGGCGGTTTTTGCATTTGCTTATGATGTGACTTTTTAAATCTGTTCAGATTTGATATCGCCCTCGTAAAACTCGCACGTGGGGTCGTCTTCAGAGAAAACATTCTGCCGATCTGCCTTCCCAAAAAGGGGTCTTCCTTTAAAGGAAGGATGGGTCTCGTGGCCGGCTGGGGAAAAACGGACACGAGCTACGGTACCCTCCAATCCGACGTTTATCAGGTTTTAATATTTTCAAAGGTTGATTTTCATGTTAACAGGTAAAACAGGCACGAACGTCCTTAGAAAAGCGGTGGTCCCAATTTTGAGCGATGACGAATGCTTGATGTGGCACAGGCACAAGAATATAAGAGTGGAACTTCACAAGGAGATGTTCTGCGCCGGGCACAGCGACGGACACATGGACGCTTGTTTGGTAAGTTACACGACTGCTCATTTTGTATTTCCCACAATCCTAAAAATCAAGTTATTATTATTAAACATAAAAAACAATTACACTGGAGATAAATCATGATTCGTTGGTAGTCTCAATTCAGAATATTTCATGTAGACATTTTCTTTCGACCAAATTTGAATATGAGTCTGGTAAGATTTTGAAAATCTCCGAACGCATGTTTGGGACTTTTTGTTCCTACACGTTTTGTTCCTTTTCCTTCCTCTCAAATTGCCGTGAATAAACCTTAAACGATACGTGAGCGTACATTTTGATGTGCCTCATGTTCTGCTAAATTTCATTCAATAATGCGTAAATAAGCCGTTTTCTAATAATTCTATTCTCTAATGCTCTCTACCTATGGATTGTTTTTCCAGGGTGATTCTGGAGGTCCATTGATCGTCCAGGAGAACGGCCGATGGGTCCTGGCCGGCATCACATCCGCGGGGTTCGGCTGCGCCATCGACCACCAACCGGGCATATACCACAAAGTGGAATACACAGCCGAATGGGTCACGAAAATCATACATCCGCCATGACCCTCGTGGACGTGGCCCTCGACCTAACGGGCCACACCAAAACGAATTCCTCATGGAGGTTTTTTTCCAGGCTGCGGCACCTCAAATCGGACGTTTCTTAATAATTGACCTGATGTGCAACGCACTCTCGCCGAAACGATTATAAACATTTTCTTTTTATCATCAATAGATGTGCGGAAAACTTTTTTGGGTCCGCCTAATCTCGCCATCTCTGCAACGATAAGAATTTGGCTAGATAAAAACGAAGAAGTGTGAGTGAGACTAGCAACCTCGGTCGATATGCTGACATAAAATCTACCAACCCAAATTTCAAAGTCGGGCTTTAAATCCATTAGTATTTACTGTTCTAATTTTAAATGTTAGATTTTTAATTTCATCTGGGGTGCAATTAAAAAAGTACAAATTACTAGAATATTTAATGTAACTAAAATAAACTGTTAATAATGAGTAAAATTATAACATAATTTTAAATAGGTTTTTTATCGTGTGTGTTTCGTCAGGCCTGAGTAGTTTTTGGTTTTAAATTCGAAAGTGATTACTTTCCAGAAGATATTTTATGTTACATTTCTGAATAAGTAATTAATTTGTTAGGCCCAATAACTAGATGCATTTATTTTTATTTTAAGAAATTTGTTCCTTTTTAAGTTAATAATCAACAAATTATTATATATTTAACGGCTGTTTTAGGTTGTAAAATTAGTTAATAAGTGTTTATAGTTGTCAAATTAGTTGATAAAAAATTAACCCATTGGTTTATTTATTATTTTACCTATTTTATTGTTCATGATTTTTTTAAAATTACAATCATTTTGTGTCAATTTCATAGGTTTGAATTCTGGTGTCACCCCTAGAAGGAATTTCTCTACTGCAAGATATCTCCATCATGTCAACCACGTGGGTGCATACTTTTTTCAGACAGATGATGATGATGAAATGAGACTAGGATATGAGGGGTTTATATTCCCCAACCACTTCATCCACCTGGATTATTGTGCTTTCTTCCTTGGTTCAGTCTGTCGATTCTATCCTTCTTTTAAGGAGACAATTTTATTAATAGAGAAAAGTTCACGTTACTTTTCAGAAACATTATGCCATTAATTAATTAATCTTTATGTAAGGTATTGGTTGAGATAAAAAAGCTAGTGCCACGAGCGGGATACGAAGCTTAAAGCTTCGGCTAAATACGCCGCTGCTCTACCACTTGAGCTAGCGTGACTTCGATCCTCTCGGACACCAACTCTCCATCTCAAACACAACCTTTCGAATTTTCCCTCTTTTAACCATTTTCAAATGTTGTATAATCATGATTCAATTCAATCAGCTCCCCGTCTTAGGAAAATATCATTATTATATTTTATATTACGAGAGGATCGAAGTCACGATAGTTCAAGTGGTAGAGCGGCGTATTTAGCCGAAGGTCGTGGGTTCGAATCCCGCTCAGTGGCTTTTTTATCTTAACGAATATCTTACATAAAGATTAAAATTGAATGAAGTTATTTGGTCAATCTGACCACAAAATTTAATCGAGTTATGCAATTAATTCAGGTACAATAAAATCTAGTAAGTTTTTGAAGGTTCTATTGAATGGGAATAGTTTAGACATTATATTGGCGTCAATTTTTATTTATTTTGACAAACTTAATGGATTGTTGCAAAATCCTTTAGAACCTCACTTGAATATATTGGCACAAATATGTTGCATCCTTCACAAATCAGTTATTTATTCATTATATTTAGTGTTCTATTGACCAAATTACTTCTTTCAATTAAGTAATCTTTTTTTGTTAGGTTTTGGTTAAAATGAAAAAGCTAGTGCCACGAGCGGGATCTGAATCCATGGCCTTCGGATAAATACGCCGTTACTGTACCACTTGAGCTATCGTGACTTCGATCCTCTCGGGCACCAAAAAATAGCGAAAAGAGGGAAAATTCGAAAAGTGGATCGAAGTCACGATAGCTCAAGTGGTTAGTGCAACGGCGTATTTAGCCGATTGTCGTGGATTCGAATCCCCTCGTGACACTATTTTTTCATTTCAACCAAACCTTACAAAAAAAGATTAACGTCTTATTTATATTTACTCCAGCTTGTTACCCCCTTGATTAGAAAACAAAAGACAGCCATGAGAGAAATCATCACTACATGAAAGGTTGGCAACCACATTACGATTTCTCGCTACAGGGATGAACTACAAAGAACGTAAGTTCTCTCCTACGATTTCTGATCATTGTTAGGGGTAATCAATACAATATTAACTGGATCGAATTTCTTTTATTTCTATCGTAGTAATATCATCATTGTCCACCACTTTCATAAACATGGTAAACGTTACATATCCACGATCGTGAATGGCCACCTTAAGAATACGATGAAATTTTGTACCGATGCACTCGCCAGCGAAAATCGCCAATTATTCCGAAATACATCAGTATTTAAGACGTTTTGGCCAAAGCAATTGTTGAAGGAATGTTTTAAATTTAAAATAAGTTGAATTCATAATTGATTTAATTCCTTAACAACGACAAACCTGTCCACCAAGCATAATTACAACAGAATAATACCGCCATCGAACCTTGGGCTTCTGGGGACCGCGATAGCCGAGTGGTTAGCATGAGAGACTCTCACACCGCGGTCGTGGGTTCGATTCCCACCGTCGCCCCTGGCCCGTTTTTCCCGATAACCCCCAATTTGAACACACAAGAATTCGTACTATGGCTAATATGCAAGATCATAAGGGCCAATAAAAAATTTAAAAAAAAACAACCTTGGGCTTTACTTAGATAGTAGACTTACTTGGAACCCGTATACACGATTAAAACGGCAAGAACTTAACAAAAGATATGTACTACTCCGACACCTTCTTGGACCAAAATCAAAACTAAGCATACATAACAAACTAACCGCCTACAAAACACTCATCAGACCTATTTGGACCTACGGAGTCGAGCTGTGGGGCTCGGCCAAATCATCCAATATCCAACGAATTCAGTCTTTTCAATCTAAAATTCTCCGCCGTATTCTCAATGCTCCTTTCTATGTCACAAATCAAACGATCCATAAAGATCTTAAAATCCCTTTCGTCAAAGATCTTATTCAAACACTTCTTCACTTTTCACTCTAAACTCTCCCTCCACCCTAACTCACTAGTCCTAACTCTTTCCTCAATATCTCACCCTTACAATCCTCCACGCCGTTTAAAACGACGATGGCCTCGTGATCTTCTATCTAACCCACCGAATTAACCCCCCCCCAATTAAATAAAAGTTGGTTTCTCTCCCTACTGCCTCCTGGTCTGACAGGTCTGTCAGATTTGTTTATAACTATTTGCTCAATGTATATTATGTACAGATAGCAATAAATAAAATAAACATCTTTAAAAAAAATTTTCTTAACAACTTAGAAAACAATGTGAAAAACATGTGAGATCTCTTTATTTCACAGTAACGCAATAGTTCTTTTTTTTTTCAAAAATTCCAAATTCTAAATGGTCCAATACTTTCAGTTAATGTTACGTTCTCTAATCTGGTTACTTTTGACGAGAAAAATAATTGAGGCGAATGAAGGGAAAATAATAGGAGGCCGATTGGCCCAGCCGGGAGAATTTCCTTATCAGCTTTGCATGTACGGCAAGTACAGATGCGGAGGCGCACTGATAACATTGAACAGATTTATCACCGCCGCGCATTGTTTTATTTATAAAGGGACGAAACTTGACATATCCAAGCAATACATGGTAGCCGGGGTGGTGGACTGTAACAAAGCAGACGATCCGTATTTTCAACAGAGAGGTATAGTAAATTACGTGGTGCACCCGGAGTACAGGAACAAGATGGACAAGACTTCCTATCACGATTTTGCCGTTGGGATTTTGGACAAACCGTTTATCGAGAACGATAGGGTCAAGCCGGGTAAAATTCCGACCTCCGACCCGGACGCTTTCCGTCAAATATGGATAGAGATTGTCAACAGTGGTAAAAAATGTCTCGCCATGGGGTACGGAGCACAGCAAGGTGAAAAAGGTATCTATTCAATGCAATGGGGTTACGACATCAGAGTGATAGAGGTACAACCGAAAGACGACAAATATTGCAAAGGTACCCTCGTCTACGAAACGGACAAGAAGCTTGACGGCGAAGTTTGTGCAGTGGCGGTGGATCTTGAAAAGGAGAGCATGGCTCCTGGTGATTCTGGCTCGGGTTTCGTCTGCGACGGCTACCTCTTGGGTGTGAACACGGGTGGATTATTCATGGAAGGCCAAAATCTCCAGCTCTTCACACTCGCTTATCCGTACCTCAAGTTCTTTACAATGGATACGGCCGTCAGCCAAAGCGCATGCACAGCCCTCGTCATCTTCTGTGTTCTCACTGTCGCTTCAGTCAATGCTGTACACCTTTGAACAATAAACACGTCTACAATTAATAAACGGAAAAATAACAAAGCACATTTGCCTAGAAGATGTGAAAAAGAACAGTTTCAATTTTGTAGTAATATATATAAAACACTGAAAAACGTTGTTTGATTTCGTCGTTAATTTATTTTTGGCAACAGCTTAGAATACAATGTGCAAAAACATGTGGGCTTTTTTTATTTCTCAGTCAACATAAAAACAAAAATATTGTATTGATGATGGATCAGCTAAAGAATTGACCGGTAAATTAATGATAAATCACCATATTATTGCATTGAGTGAATTGAGCTTTATTTGATCAAACTAAGCACATCATTTGTAAATATTCATAAAATGTCCAAAGAATCTTAATTGCCCTATATAAAGATCTCTTATTTTAATCCAACACGACACATACAAATGACATATCTACGCGGAAAACAAACACTTTGAGCTCTGAAGATGATCTCAATAAAGATCGAAACGTTGGCATGATAAAGGAAATGTTTTACTAAAACCTACGTCCCACCAGACCGCACCACACGATCTCCAAATAATCTTGTTTTAACATTGGGAAATGGGTAAGGTCTGTTTAATTAAATTTTGATCAAGTTTTTACATATATCGGTCTATTGTTACAGTGATGGCTAGCTTTAATATGAATTTTTTTTCAATTAATTAATCTTTATGTAGGGTATTGGTTGAGATAAAAAAAGTCTGTGTCACGAGCGGAATTCGAACCCACGACCTTCGGCCAAATACGCCGCTGGTCTACCACTTGAGCTATCGTAACCTCCCAACATTGAGTGGATTACAGATTATTGCATACTGAACTTGAATGATTTAGTATTAAATTATTATATTATTTTATCTTTATATTTCCCAAATTAGTTTAGTGTTTTTAAGGAAAGTTACTAGTTTGTTTATTTGGTCGAAGTCGTCACCAAGCGAGTCTTTGATGTTGGTTGGAAATTCCGATGTCTTTCTGCTACATATTTTTTGCAATTTGTCAAAATGTGTTTAACTGTTATTCTTTCTGCGCAAACATCACAAAGCTGAGTCTCTTTTTTTGCCATGAGATAAGAATGAGTAAGCCTACAGTGACCAATTCTGAGCATAGCAAGGACAACTTCTTCATGCCTGGAACCTCTATGAGATGAGGCCCAAGGTTTTACACTGTTTTTTGTCTCCCTAAGTTTGACATTAGAAGTCGTTTCCCACTCCGTTTGCCATAACTGCCAGGACTTTCTTTTATGCCAAGCTGCCACATCGGATTTTGGTGTTTTTGTAATTTTAACTCCATTAAGGGCGGCCTGCTTTGCCAATTGGTCCACCTTCTCAATGCCAAATATTCCGCAGTGTCCAGGAATCCACATGAAAACTACTCTATTTCCCTTATTTTGCAGAGATTCAATGGTAAATAGGATGTCTTTTATCAATGGATGTACAGAAAAGTTGTTTTTAAGTGCCAATAGCGCAGACAAAGAGTCAGTACAGATGACAATCGTTTCCCTGGATGGGGCTAATGTAGTTAAGCATTTTGCTATTGCTATAATCTCAGCAGTGTAGCTGCTACATACAGGTGGTAGTAAAACATATTGTGCCTTATTATTATAAGTGAAAAAGGCAGCACCTGTCCCTACATCATTTTTGAGCCATCTGTAAAACATAGTGCGGGATTCGAAAAGATATCTATTATTTTATAAAATTCTTCACTGTAGGGGGGAGATTTTAGTAAGGTCTAAGCATAGATTAGGCTTTGGAAGCAGCCAGGGAAGTTTAGGTGAAATTCTAGTTTTATAGAGAGGGGGGAACGTAGCATTTATTAATTGTAAATGAGCAGCCACTCTAGCGAAAATGCTTTCTTTGACAGCGTAGGGTATCTTGAAACGGAATAGAGTTTTCACTTGGAAAAAGGGACACTAGAGGATGGGAAGGGCATGAGAGAATTTTAACTGCAAAGTTCAAATCAAGTCTTAATCTTCGATGTTTGAGGGGCAATTCTCCAGCTTCAGTATGCACACTGACAGATGGGCTAGATCTAAATGCACCTATGGCTAGACGCAAACATTTGTATCGGTTCAATCATGGACAATGTTCTGTCACTAGCAGAGCCGTATGCACAACTCCCATAGTCCAGTTTAGAGCGAATGAGACATCGGTAGATTTTTAGCATGCTAGCTCTATCAGCACCCCATGTCGTTCCACTAATAATTCGGAGAAAATTGATAGAATTCGAGCATTGTGCTTTCAATGTTTTCAAATGTTTAGACCAGTTAAGAGTACGATCGAAGAGTACTCCTAAATATCGGACAGAATCAGCAAAGTCTACAGTTGTGCCATTAATTTTAAGTGACATATTAGTATGAGGCCTTCTCTTTGCAAAAAGGACTGCTTTAGTTTTTGACAATGAAATCCTGAAACTATTTTTGCTTAGCCAATCGGAAGCAACATTCAGAGCTTCCTGAATATTTTCTTTAATTATACTTAGATTTTTTTCTTTTAGATAGATAACATTGTCATCAGCATAAAACATTATCTGAATTGGTAACTTTATTTTTGTAGTTATAGTATTAAGTCCTATGCAGAACATGGCACTAAGAACACAACCCTGTGGCAGCCCATTTTCTTGGATAAATTCTTTAGATTCAGCCATCCCGCATCTCACACTAAATCGTCTATCAGATAGAAAATTTACAATAACTTTTAGCACATTACCATTAATACCCATTTTAATAAGTGAGTTTATTAGTAATCGTCTCCATGTTCGATCGAACGCATTTTCTAGATCTAGGAAAACAGCTAGGATCACCATTATTAAATGCATTCAGAATGTCAAACTCTAATCCAACTATGTTGTCAAGTGTAGATCTTCCTTTTCTGAAACCACTTTGCCAAGAAGGTAATAAATTATTTGATTCAAGAAACCACTGGATTCTATTGGCTACTAATTTTTCTAATAGTTTGCACAATGAACAAGTCATTGAAATGAGTCTATAACTAAGAGAGGGGATTTATATTTTTTGAGAATTGGAACTGCTATGGCTTGTGACCATATCTTTGGAAATAGACCTAAAAAGATCCTATTCCTGTGGTCACGTACCACATTTTTGTCTTTGCCCTTTAGGTTTTTTATCATGCTTATGCCAGGAGTTGAGTCTTTTCTACTTGTCAATGAATGTTCAAATTCGTTTACAGAAAAAGGTTTGTTTAAAGGGTTTCAGGATCTGATTCATGATTAATTGGGATCAATTCAATTTTATATTTGTGAACCAAAAGATTGGGTGCGATGTTGTTGTCTGCAGATAGGTTATATAATTTTTTCCTAGTAAGTCCACGATTGCATTTTGATCAGTGACATAATGTATTTTGATCATAAAGACAATTTACAGGGGGTGATGAATCAATACCTTTGATTCTTTTAACAGTATTCCAAAACATTTTGCTGGGGGTGTGGCTACTAGCATTATCAAGAAAGTTTTTCCAAGACTGCGTTTTACTCTTCTTTGTAATATACCTGAATCTCTTTTTCGCGTGGTTTAGGGAATTCAATACTTCGGTAGAAGGTTGGTTAAAAAATGATATTCATAAATTTATATACTGGAAAAAGTTTTTTTTAACCTTACTGCGAGTTTTTATTTCGATCCATTACTGCCAAAAAATTTCTAATGGCAATTATTTTTTCGATCTGTGTCAATTGATGTACACATGTCGTATCATTCCATTATTTGATCAGAATGCTTTCTTTTGTCGTTTATCCAAAAATCTCATGCCATAAACTTTAACAGATTGAATTATTGCAAATAATGAAAAATAAACGGCGGAAATGTGTTTATTTTTCAAAATTGTAAACCATTAACCACAACTACGGTGAAGAACCCGAAGATGACGGCCATGTGAGAGCTGCGGCAGATGTACCCAGATTCCTTTTCGATGAGGTTTAGGTAAGGATAAGCGAGTGTGAAATACTGTACGTTATAATCTGGCTGGAAATATCCTGCAGTACCCACACCGAACATAAAACCTTCGCAGACCAGAGCCGTGCCCGCGTCGCCCTTTCCCTGGCTCTCCGTTTTGACATTCTCCGGAATACAACAAACTTCACCGTCCATCAGTTTATCAGAGTCGTACATGTGAGTTGTTTTGCAGAACGCTGGATCTTTCGGATTCATCTCTGCTATTTTTAAATCATTACTGAAATCCTTGGCATTGATGTCCGTCATTGCTCCGAATCCCATGGCGAGGCATTTTTTACCGTTTTTGGAAATGTCTTCCCAGTATTGGCGGAACTTGGCCGGGTCGGTGTTCGGAAACGCGCCCACCTTGACACGTTCGGATTGGTCGAACGGTTTGTCCACAATCCCGATAGCAAAATCATGATATGCAGTCATGTCTTTTTTGTACGCGAAATCTGGGTGCATTTTGTAATCTTTTATACCTCTCTTTTGATAAAACGGGTCGTCTTTTTTGGTACAGTCCACAACCCCGGCTATCATGAAGTGCTTGGTAATGTCATTTTTTGACGATTTTTTAACAAAACAATGGGCGGCGGTCATAAATTGCCTCATCGTTACCAGTGCGCCCCCGCATCTTTGTTCGCCCCACATGCAAAGCTGAAAAGGGAATTCGCCTGGCTGGGCCACTCTGCCTCCTACTATTTTGCCCTCATCCGCCTTCAAGATTTTGAATGTTAAAAATATCCAAATGAAATATAATGCCGACCGGATGTGCCGGACCATTTAGAATTTGGAATTTTCCAAAAGAAAAAAAATTAGAAATTTTACTCTCAAATAAAAAGTCCTCACATGATTTCAATTTTTTTATTTATTTTTTAAATGACATATTTTCGTTTGACGGTAACAACTTTTACAATTTTCAAAAATAAACGAACAAATATTTCATTGAAAAATAAAGAGATCTCACATGTTTTTGCACATTCTATTCCAAGCTGTTGCCAAATCAATGACCAAATTAAACCTGTTTTTGCAGTAAGTCTTTTATATATACGTTATGGTTTTGCGTGAATTGAAAGTTTTTAAACAAGAACACTATTTATCATAAGACAATACAATACTCCTATTATTATACAATAATATTATTATCATGGCGGCGTCGATGGCCGCAACGGTTTGGGCATTGACACGGCGCTCATCACTGTAAGATAAAGGTACCGGGTTCGAATCCAGCGGCCTACTTACAAATGGACTTTCTTTTCAAAAACACTGGCACCCTGAGGTTTTATACGACCTCCGCTGTTGCGAACCCGATTTTTTTTTTTTTTTTTTTTTTGCGAATGCAACCACCAAGGGTCATGATTGTCCCAATGACTAACTCATTATCTATCTATTATTATCATTATTTATTTATCTTTATTCTATATCTATATTTATTATTATCATATCTAATTATTATTATCTTATTATCTTGATTCTATATTATTTATCTTTATATATCTGATCTTGTATATATAGAGAAGGACAAACAGTTTGAGCTCATATTTTGTCAAGTAGATTTGCTGATTTGAGAAAATTACGTATACTATCATTGTTGTCGCCTAGCATTTCTTGGATGCTTATAGGCAAGGAGTGTAGACGTCTATGGGCTGTATATAATGAGCATGACGTAAGTATATGTTTGATTGTGACGATTTGATTGTGACGATTTGATTGCACATTCCGCAAATTGGAGGTGCCTCTCGCCCCATCAAATGACCCTTAGTGGCTCTACAGTGTCCAATCCTCAACCGTGCAAGAACTACTTCTTCCCTTCTACTATTTCTGAATGAAGTAGGCCATGCATCTACAGAGTTCTTTATTTCCCGTGGTTTGTTTTCAGATAGGTTAGTCCAGACCTGTTCCCATTGACCCTTAACTTTTGACTTGTAAACTACAGTCATACCTTTGGAACGACGTTCCTGATTTGAAGGCCTGTAATGGCTGCTTCTTTTGCAGCTCATCTGCCAAATGGTTTCCTTTAATATTTACATGTCCAGAACCCAGACGAAGTAAACTCTTTCCCTGCAGCTGGAGGCTCCCCAGTGACGCCAGCACCTCCTGCACACCAGGATCGTCTGAATAGGGGTGTTCCAAGGCATGAAAAGCCGATTCTGAATCAGAGCAAATCACGTAGCTACTATTGTTATCGGAACATATAAAATTTAGAGATTTCCGTATTGCCAGTAGCTCAGCGCTATAGAAATGATGTAGAGAGAAAAGGAATTTATTAGGGCCACATATAGACGCAGCTCCCGCGCTAATACTGTTAACAAAATAATTTAAATAATGTAACGATAGCGAGAGCAATAAAGCTAAAGAAGGCCCATTTTGTCACACCTCATAGCAATCCTTTTATTTTCCTTTAGTCGAGTAAAGAACCGCTCAATAAAATTATCATGAGATTCGGGGAATAGACTAGTTGCAAGATTGGATGCAAAGAGTAAGTTATGGTTATTGAAGTGATAAATATAAGTATCTAAGAAATGAGAAAGAGCCTATATAACAAAGAATTGTATAAAGCATATTTGGTAGCCGGCAGTATTAGATATTCTGGTTTAGCGTTATCAGAAGTATCACCTGGAAAATTATCGCATCATGCTGTTAGCAGTTGGCTTAGCTCAAGTCATTATACGCCATCTGTTGTATGGAACGAGTCACAGCATTTAATTGATAAATCGCAAAATTGTTTATTAATAGCCGATGATATAGTTTTAGATAAGGAGCAGTAGTGAGAAAATAGGTAAATTGGCAATATTAAGGTTCACAAAGTGATTGCTGGCATTGGCATGGTAAATATGCTGTGGCATGGTACAGCATAACTCTATAAGGTATAGACTATTATTAGCAGGATATATATATAAGTTTATTGAATGCAAAGGTACAATCAAAGAAGTAAGCAGATTATTCAATATAAACCGCAATACGGTAAGAGCATGGAAGAAGCTAAAGAAAGTGACTGGAGAAGTGAAGGCAAAGACAAGCTATCAGGTAGGACATCGTCTAACTATCAAGGATACAGAAAGATTTAAAGATTGGTAGAATGACATAAGGGTAAGAGCTTGCAAAGTTAAGGCATGAGCCTTAAGTTCTAAGAGTGTGCTGAGGTTATTAAAGAAACTAGGCTACAGCTATAAAACAAAATTTTGTTCACTGGAGGTCAATCCTTTTTAAAAAGATGGTTCCTACTCACATTAAGTTGTTTTGCAACAATCCGGATTACAAGCCCTTTAGCTCATAGCTTCAGCTTCAACCTGACGATGAGCTAAAGGGCTCGAAATCCGGATTGTTGTGAAACAACTTAATGTGAGTAGGAACCATCTTTTTAATGTCCTCAGTTACCCAAAACCTCTGTGCACCTGTTAGGCGTGGTCACTAATTTCATAAGGAATTTCACTCCATAGATGTTGCAGCACTGTACTCAGTTGTTGAAGGAAAACCGACTGCGAATGGTGATCGAAAAGCCTTCTCTGCTACGCATCCCACATGTGTTCAATGGGATTGAGGTCTAGAGATAATGGAGGAAGGGGCAGGTGGGAAATTTCCAGGTTTTCTAAACACTGATGAACAACCTCTATGATGTCTGTCATTGTCACCCAGAAATTGAAAATCTCTTCAATGAAATCCCTGGTTTGAGGGATGTATTGCTTGACTGCAGTGAGGTTGCCTTCAATAGTCCAGTCCTAGAGTATAAATCACAGCCCAGACCAACTCCTCCAAACTGCACTGAAGGGAGTACGAACTGGGGCATTAGATACATCCCCGTTCTCAGTAGACTTTAGCGCCTACAGGTAGAAATGTGACTCATCAGTAAACATAACAGCATTCCTATTGTTTTCTTCTAGGTGCTTGCTGCTGTTGCTTTAGGGTGACTCAATATAATGTGAGGCCAACTTCCCACAAACGGTTCGTAATCGGCCTTGATAAAGGTCTTGCCAAAACATCTTGTACTTAATTTAAAATCTGGCGGGCATTGTGGAAAGGGGTCTGTCTTGTAGCAATGACAGGAGTATTTCTGTGGTAATTCCTCCCCTAGTGTCGTAATGCACTGAGATCCACTACCAGTCTTCCTGTTGGCACTTCCAGTGTCTCGGAATCGAGCTAAATCTCTGAGAAACGCCAACTGCCAGTGACCTCAATGACTCATTCTCACAATAATATTGTAAACTTTCTGGTTCAAGATGATGTCTATCCATGATTAAAGAGATTGTAACTGGATTAAAATGGAGAAAAAGTGTTTGTTTATAAAATGAGTAATCATGTTTCACTATTCTTAAGTAAATCTGTTAGTTTTTGGTTTGTATGTTTTATTTTGTTTTATCCAACTAACAAGAATATATTACATTACATTAAAGGTTAATTTAATTAAAATTAATAGAATAAGAATAAATTACAAATATCCCTATTAATTTTTGAGCAGTTTATATAAAACAGTTCCGTGACACTGACAGACCAAACCGCTGTGTCTAAAGGGCTGAAATTTCGACAGTGTATTTTTACGACTTGGATATCCATTAAGGAAGGATTTTTTTGAAATTTCATCCCTAAGGGACAATTTTTTTTACCACGTATAGACCAAATTGAGTAGAAGATTTTTCAAAACAAGACATGGAAAGGGTTCTGTCTTGTAGCAATGACAAAGGTTAAAACATAGCCCCGTGTGAACAAAGTCGCAGGTAAAAGCTGTATATGCGCTCAAAAACTTTTCTAATAGTGAATGGGCAACGCATGTTCTTTCTAATACCTAACTAATTTTATAATTCTGTTTGAGAAAACGTTGAAAGATTGAAAATCCAGGATCAGTTTTTTAGCTGATATATTTGACCTCTTATGCTACATATACATCAATCATAGGAATCAGGAGAAAGTTAAGAAAGCATATGAGCTGAAAGCTATGCAAACAGAAAATGGAAGTTGGTTGGATCTTGGAACGGTTCATCCTGAGTGATGAGTATCATTCACGTTGTAACCAACCAACTATTACTACTTTTATTGATTAATATGAACCTATTACTTTTTATTGATCTTAGGCTTTACATCTTACAAAAATAAAATCAGGCATTTAAATAAATAAGCTTTCTTTTTGTTGACTGTGTACTTTGTTTTCTTCAAAGACCAGACATGTAAAACCAGTTGTGGTATGTTTTATGTTGTAATTCGAGAAATGCCAAAATAAGTATAATGTTTTTAGTATCTATGACTGGCAAAATATATTAAAAATATATTATTTTAGGATATATTTTTTTGTTCTCTTTTGTATTTGACTGCAAGAACTTGATCTAGGTCGGTGGCAAAATTTAATAGGACGAGAAGAAAGTCTGAGTTAACTGAAGCATAGAGGCAAATGTGGGAAAAATTAAGATTAACTATTTAATCGAAATGTTTTACGTAATGCTCGAAAGAGAAATAAAAAAGACATTAAATCTAAAAATGTGGAAATTTGTCGGAAGTGGGTTGGTAGTGTGCAGTGTGCACAGTGCACGGCCGAAACCTCGATTGGCTGTTACAATTTTCCAGGCTATCGTTAACCCGAGGAAAGGTGATGACGGACGTCGACTGAAAAGCCCGGAAAATTCTTCTGCAGAGAGCCGCTGAAGTTACTCGATGAAGTTCGACTGAGGATGTAAAAAGAGTTCACAAGGAAAATTGGCCGTTTGCGATTTCCCGTACCGGAGAGATGACAGTTTGCCAATTCTGTCTCACCCCTGGAATTTGATTTACAGCTATGCTGCCGAGGCTGCAGAATCTGTCAGTGAAGAAATGGAAAACCCTGAAGAGACACGTCGAGCGAGGTTGGTATCGAACTTCATTTATATTATCTACATCCTTAGGCAAATAAGCGCATGTCGTGGAAAAGTGCATTCATGTTTCACCTTGGCCTGCATCATCAGTCAAACTGGGTTTCGTAGTAAGCGTTTTTCAAGTCATCATCAGGGTTTTCACGACACGAAATGTTACAGGGTACAATCAGACACGTTTCATGCAGAAGCACAAAATTCAATTTAATCACAAATTAACAGTCACTCCACTTCTACGTCTGTGTCATCTGTCCTTATATGTCTGAGTGAATAAATTTTGGATGATTACACTGCATCAAAAGTATGAAAATGGCCGAATGCTTGTAGATCTGGACAGTTAATTAACGCATAATCGTTACATTGATTTAGTTCTATTCGTATAAATCTTATCAAAATTTCACTTCTAAAAAGCCCTATCGTTTATTAAATGAACCCTTTTTTGTGTATGTCTATGTCATCTGTCATTTTATGGCTGAGGGGATAAGTTGGATGGTTATGTTGCATCATAATAGGTATGAAAATGGCCAAATGCTGATGGATGACAGTGACAAGCATAGTTGTTATATCGCTTCTGTCCCAGTCTTATGACCCTTAACAAAAATAAAATAATTCTTAAAAGCCCTGTTATTTTTAAAATGAATTCTGTTTGTTATTTGTACGTTTATGTCATCTGTCCTTACATGGTTGAGTAGATAAGCTGGATGATTACGTTGCATAAAAATAAGTATGAAAATGGCCGAATGCTTGTAGATCTGGAGAGTTAATGCATAATTGCTACATTGATTTTGTCCTATTCGTATGAGTCTTATCAAAATTTCACTTTTTCCAAAAAAAAGCCCTATCATTTATTAAATGAACCCTATTTGTTTTTGTACATCTATGTCATCTGTCCTTATATGGCTGAGTGGATAAGTTGGATGGTTACGTTGCATCAAAAAAGGTATGAAAATGGCCGAATGTTGATGGATCTAGGCAGTGACAACGCATGAATCTCATAAAAATTTCAGTTCTTCCGAAAAGCCCTGTTCTTTAGGCTTCAGTGATTTTGCTATTGGTTTGATTGTGAGAGTTTTCTGTGGTGCCTGCAGGGTGGTGGGCTTGTAGCTGGGTCGATGAAACCAGCGAGGATAGACAGTCCAAAGTGATCACGACCAAACTGTTGGTCTTTTCCTTGGGTAAATATTAGTTTTTCATCTTGAAACCTTAAAAATGATATTAAACCCTAATACAATCTTAATTGTGCGGTCAAACAGTTAAAAACACTAAGGTTTTCTCTGTTTTTGGTTATGAGTTCAAACTTTTCAATTTTCATTTTTCAACGTGACTGAGACTGCTAGCTTAATTTACTCGGTGTCCAGTGATGATACTTGAAGATGGGTGGAAGACAAATAGTTACTGATAGGGAGCAACTGAGAGAATAGATTAAATGGGATCCTTGCTAAATCTGCTCGGAGATGACTTCCCAACTCAATATCTCTTATGACAAGCTGTGAGATCTTTAATAAATCACCTACTCAAGTGTTGTTGGCTGAACAAAGTTAGAGATAGCATACTGGAATTAGGCTCCAGTGCCTTTCAGTCATCAAGTCATGCAGTAATTACAATTACCAATAGAAAAAGTAAAATATGATTTCTTCATGAGGTCTGCAGTGTGATAAACTTGTAATTTGGTCTTACTATCGTTGCTGGTTCAGTCTGTCAGATGTGTAAGACCTAAAAGTAAGAAATCTATAGAAACGGATACTGAACAATTTAACTTACATTGATATCATTTTTTTTTCTTTAACCTGAAGTCTTCCATTATTCCTTCCCTTTGTCTGCCAAATTCTTACTTAAAAATGAACCATTTTTTGCTAGAATCATTGATGTGATGAAAAGTGTGTCTTGTGCAACAATTTATAACGCCATTATTTTTCTTTCTATGATTAAGAACATATTTTCTAGACAGCGAAAGGTTTGCAATTGCCAAAACCTTCATTTTCAGGTCAAACTCATTTCATAAGTGGCCTACTATGCCAATAAATTTAAAAAATTTCCAGGCTTAGTTAATTGGAAAGGAAACGCTCACCTAATGGAATCAACATTGCCGTATCCTCCTTAATTAACAGATTACCGCCTTTTCAGATCCCTTCGACAAATTAGCAGCTTAAGGAAAGTGAGTAAGTAAAGTAATTCCTGTTATAAGGGAGGGCTTAATGTTGGGTGCTGCAGAAAAGACTTTACAAACTTAGTATTTCAAACTATTCTCAATTAAAAAGCCATGGGCTGTGCTGGGATTCGAACCCAGAATTGCCAACTTGGCAAATACTTGTCTGATTCTCTAACCTCTCAGCCGCTAGGATTTCAAAACAGCCTTATGAAGAAAAATGATCTAAAACTGGCACAATCTTTTATTGGAGTTGACTCTATAATTTACAAAAATAAGGTTTTCTTCCCCCCCTCCCCCCAAAAAAAGATAAAAAGATAAAGATTTTCTTTTCAATTTTACTTCTTCTAGGGATTTAAGAAATTTTGATGCACTTTAAGCTTGTTGTCTTGTGCGTCTGATGTGAAATATATTGGTTTAGTTGGTGAATAGTTCATCAGAGTGGATTGGGTCTGGCCTAATTTCTGTATGGTTTAATTGACTTTAAGCTCTTGTAGTTCAGGTTAAAGTATTATCAAGTATAAAATCTAATTTTAATAATATTATCTTAATATTTTCAAATGTAATAAATGGAAGAGAGTTTCAATTTTGTAATGATAAATTACAAATATTAAAAAAAGTTAACGAATAAACTTTAGTTGTTTATATTAAATTATTAAGTCAGTAGTAAGTGTGATGTGTCTTTGAAATTTTAACTTAAGAAATAATTGTTGCTAATGTGATTAATTGTAATTTGTGCTGGTTTAACCCTGATGATGACATTGATTAGGAACCAATTTGTAAAATTTGAACATGCATGTTTGATTGCTGTCATAAGAAACCTCAATCATATATCATACACGCTGATTTAATGATATTTTTTCTGTCTAATTAAAATCATAAAAATACTCTTTTATTCTTTGTCACAGATTGGATGGTGTAAACAGTTTAAAAAAATTATAAAATAAGGCACTAAAAAGAGGCTCTGGGCTTTTCCACATTCTACGTATTTATTTGGGTGAAGGTGTAATGCACGTTCTTAAATAAACTTAACAACCATTAAATTTTCTTTGTGTATACTTCAACAAATTGATCTTGTGTAAATCATGCTATGAGAGTGGTTTTTTTTTTCTCTTTAAACATAGAATAGAATTATTACTGAGATAACTTTAAAGATGTATTACAAATTTTTGATCGGTGTGGTAATTGTAGCTATAGTCGGAGCACTAGTAGTGGACAAGAAAAGTCATACGCTTGCCGAGCCGCACAACATTCATTACAAGAATCTTCAGAGATGCTATATAATTGCCCTCTACCTCGCCACATTTGCCGATTGGCTTCAAGGGCCGTACATCTACACGATATATAAAGACTATGGCTACTCAGACGACTCCATAGCCATACTATACATCACGGGATTCGCTTCCAGTTGTGTGTTTGGCAGTGTGGTCGGCCAGCTTGCAGACAGGTACGGCCGGAAGGTGTTTTGCTCCATTTTCACACTCCTCTACAGTGTAAGTTGCCTTACAAAAACTAGCCCAAATTTTAATGTTTTATTGATTGGAAGGATACTTGGTGGAATATGCACCTCGATTCTGTTTACTACATTCGAGGCGTGGTATGTCAATGAACATCTCAATTTTTATAAGCTTCCAGTCGAGTGGTTGAATGTGACATTCACTAAAGCGACATTTTACTCCGGCCTCTCTGCTATATTAGCAGGAATGGTGGCCCAGTTATTCGTCGACTATTTTGCACTTGGCCACGTATCACCTTTCATCCTCGCCATCCCTTTTTTACTCTTGTCCCTTTTGGTAATACAATCGACTTGGAAAGAACACGTCGCCTTAGCCAAACCCCGAGATGACATTTTTGTAAATTTCTTCACTCCTTTACGTATTTTAACCGAGAACGATGGAATTCTTCTCTATCTGGGCTTGGTACAGTCTATATTCGAATCTGTGATGTATACTTTCATATTTTCGTGGACTCCGATCCTCGCTGATCTCCAACCCCCGTTGGGCCTCGTGTTCTCACTGTTCATGGTGACCCTGATGTGTGGGTCAAAATTCTATTCCTTGCTCATATCTAGACGGTGGCTGCCTCAAAACCTCCTTATATTCACATCCATCTTGGCGACGGGTACTTACATAGTCGTGACGATTTGCCTTACGAACATAGTTGCCCATGTTCAGGATCACGACCCCATCACCAACAAAACTATGAGTATAATTTGTTTATTGGCCTTTCTCGTTTTTGAATTTTCCATCGGTCTGTACTTTCCGACAGTCGGCTACCTGAGATCACGCATAATTCCAGAAGACTACCGAGCCACTCTTGCAAATTGGTTTAGGGTCCCGATGAATATAATAACCTGCTTCACTCTCACAATGAAATTTGGGGGTGATACCGCCGACGTGACTGGGCTTCAAAAGTTTCAATACCTTTTCACCTTCTGTTCTCTACTCATGATAGGAGCCATCTTGGGCTCGGTAATTTTCTCAAGGAAATACTCGAGGAAGATTCTGTACGAAGAACTTGAGGAGCTAAAAACTGGAAAGGCTGTACCAACTGAGACTGTTTAATTTATTTATGAAGTTTACAATACAAATTGTAAATAGGAGAAATACTGTTTGAAGTATAGTTTTTGAGCAGCGTTTATTTACCTGTTTGATGTTTTTGACAATTTGGAAATATTGGTTTTGTAAATAATGGATTAACAATTATTCCTAATAAATTTGAAGAAAAACAATTGTTAAATTCATCAGTACTTCAGATAATAGAAAATTAATAATGTTATCGATAAATTGTATTTTTCTACTCACTAAATTGTTATTTGTGAAATAAAAATCATAGTTACATTTTCTTTTTGTTTTGTTTGAATAAATACGTATTATTTATAATTTATTGGAAATATCTCTGCTTGAGAATAATTTGTTGTTAATCACCTTGACCTGGAATATTTTTAATTTCCCTCCATCATCTATAGTATAATATATTTACATAGAACAAGCTTTTATGGATTGCTTTTTAATAACGTTCCATGAAACAGACACAGTATTTTTATGGTCACCAACACACCAACATATGTGGCCAATTTAAATATATGTTTCTTATGATGGTGGTTATATACAAGTAATAGAGGCATGAAACCTCAATTCCACAAATAGATGATATTTTCTCATTCCAAGTGTCCGACACAGCTCAACAGTTTTATCATTCACAATGTGCTCTAAGATGAAGATCAGGGCTATCTTCGGTTACCTCTGATGCTATTTTTCAACTGCCTTTACTGGAAATCTTGAGGATTCTTCAACATCTGAGCTTACTAATGCCCAAGACTCGACTAGAAAATTACGACAGAGAAAATTAGAAAATACATGTTTAAAATAGCCTAAACAGTGTCCTAACTGAACTCCTCCTTTATCTTGTAACATTTTTAATATTACATATAAAATATTTACATTTAGATCTACATACAACTATAATTTATAAATTACAAATTCTGTTGGATTTTTTTTAAACAAAGTGTAATGATTAAAGAATAAACTTTCACTGAAAGGTGAACAATCTCAAGAATGTATCATCAAAAAAGAATATGATTTGAAATTATTAACTGCCAGTCGTTTAGGAATAGGAAATATGCATAAAAAACAATTTTTTTGATAAGAATGATTTTAATTTCACAGCATAAAATGGCTATTAAATATTTTTAAGGTATTGTTGGTATAGCCAAAAGAAATTTCTTTGTTTCTTTTTGAAGTTAGCATGATTTGTAAATTCTTTCATATTCATTTTACATGAACTTGAACACCTTAACTCATTAAATCAATAAATTATCAGTATCTAATTATAGTCATTGACATTACTTGCTAGTTTTAAAAATGATAAATACATAATAATGCATATTATTAAAATCTCTAAGCGTAAAATATAAACATTATTTTAACAAGGATAAAAATTTGAGACTGCTAAATTGTTGATATTCAAATTTAAGAACTATCATCAATCACTAATTAAATATCACTTTCCTAGAGAAACTAATTAAATTAATAAAGATGAAATATTGTTTCATCAATTCATCAGTAGAACAAATTTTTTGAAATGTAAAATCTATTTATTATAAGTATTCAAATGGCAACAGCTTCTTGGCTGAGAAAATATTTTCATTATGCTATATATACATGCCATGTATATATGCTTAAAAAACTCACTCCTTAATAATTTCTTTTTCAAAAGTAATTATATTTAATTAAATATAAATGTGGTTTTTAGTGACAGTATATAAATTTTTAGCTTACAAAGTGCTTTTTTGGTGTTACAAAGGTACACTGTGCCATATCCAATTGCATTTTAAAGAGTAGAACAGGAAAACAAAAGCCAGACGAGTGATTACAATTGACTTAAAATATTAGGAAAAAAGACTTCATTGGCAACATGAGAGATGAATTAACCTATGCCTGTTGCATATGAAATCTAGGCAAAAGGCACAGATTAATCAAAAGGGCAGATTTAAAGTAGAAATTTTACTTAAATCTAAGTTAAACCCGCCCAGGAGAAAAATAACAAGTAAGAAGCTAAGTTTAAAAAAAAGTAAACCAGAAACCTAAAGAAATACTTTGTATGGCCATCCGTTAGTTTTTTAAATATTGTTTTGAATAGGAAATATTGAGTTTCTTACTTGTTATTTTTTAATAAATGTGTGTGCATTGGACATGTGATCGTGTCCAGTGAGAAAAGTGTGTTTCCACCTTTCCAGAGAGCAGACGCTCTGTGAAACAGTGTAAACCAAGTCGGGGCCAAACGCGGGCCCGACTACCGACCCTGGGGATCGATCGTCGGGCCTAAATCTGTGAGTGCAGGACAATTGTCGCAATCGTGGTGGCTCATTCTCCCCGGCCTCTCCACCACACAATCCATTTCATTATAATTAGAATTATGTTCACCTTGGGGTTTAGCTACTCACTCTTACTGTTGGTATCAGACAGAGGTCTAAGGAAGAATTTGCATGCACAGCTTTCATCAAGCCAAAGTGTGTTAATGCTTTGCACAAAAATGTCTGTTTGGAATATTTACAGGTGTTATACAATTTTCTTGTGTAGTAGTGCTACGTCAGATACAAAATAATTTTCATATGTATATTTACAGTGGTTACTTAATGTTTAAACGAAAGTGAGATTGGTAAAAGGTGTAGGCATGCTTAATTAGTGTTTTTCCAGGGGTAGATGTTAGGATTGAGTTCTTGCTTTGCGACATGCCATTTATAGTAGATTAATCGATTTAACATAAAAATTGATGTTCTTATGTCCAATTGTACTGCTGCAATCCGCCGGGGCGATAAATACTAAATCCCTCATGTTGTTCTTGGACGGTAGACATATTTTCAATGAGAGGGTTTTGTCGATATTATCACCCCGGCTTTCTCTCTCCATTTCTCTCAATATGCCGTATGGATAATTAGCGATTGATAAAAATTAGTATTGAGCACTTATTCTACAAGCAACTAATCTATAATTAGATTGCATTCCTAAAATCACAAAAATCCCATATACATTGTTTTATGTAAAGAAATCACTAACAAAATATCTCATTCAAACAAAAAATTAAATAAATTCTAAAAATCATTGTAACAATACAAAAATAATAGACCCTTCTTCTATATCACATTCCATGCAGATTGCTTAAAGTTCTACTGCAATTTTACAATCAGACCAACCGTTCTGCCTTTTAAGTTTCTACAGTTGCTCTCTATGCTGATACAGAAATATCGACAGTGCTTGTAATCTACAAATTTAAAAAATGTGATCCTTTAAACATTATCAATGAAATATAAATATATATTATATGTATGTTGATTAATAAAGTTGCGCAAGTAGGGATTTTTTTTTGTACTGACAGTGAGTTTATATAAGAAATATTTATGATATAATTTAGGATAGTGTTGATCCCAAAATTCGATTTGTTGGAATTTATTCAAAACTGGAGTGACAACGTGACAAACTATAGTAAATGCCCAAATTAAACGTTAATTAATAAAAAATGAAGCTCTAATATTTCCATTCACCATGCATAAATAACACTGTTTGAGTTAATGATGTTAATATTTATCCGACAGTTCTTTTGGTACAGCAAATGCATTCTCTCACATGTCAAACATTGGAATTTGTACTTTTTAATTTCGAGTAAGGAGTTACGTGATGTTTATACTATGAAGGATTGTGGATTGTTTGAAAGTGTTCAAACAAGCTACTCCAACACATTTGTCGGGCCTTAACTTTCTTAAACTTTATTGTCTCAAATTGTTAATCTGTCAAGTTAGAGACCCTAGAACCCTTACCGACTCCCTGAGCACAGATGCCAAGCCGTTTTTTTTTCTCAAAAATTACACCACTAGGTCTACAGGCTATGTTTGGGAAGACAGGGGTTATAATGAGGTTGGTTTATCTGTGAAAGAGCAAGGCTAAGGGGGCGAGCAAGAGGAACAGAGCGGGTCTCTTGCCCCAATGAGCCGAATTGCACATGTCCTCCTCACAGAAACACATGTGACCCGTCCCAGTACTTTCCAGCATGCACACGTGGTCGACCATAAATAAGTTGATTTGAAGCTGTGTCGTGCAGGTCCGGCGGACGCTCTCATACGCTGCAAGGGCAAACCGACAATTTAATTTTTCCCCATTTCAATCATCCATTCCGTTTTCAATACACCTACCTGTTTTTGAGTTTCGCACCATCTTAACACAACATCCGTTGCATGTTTGGAGTGGTGGCTGGTCTCGAGGGAGTGCGGTGTAATTAAACGGATCCTTACACCTCGGATCTTTCCAAGAGTCACATTCATAACAGTATATAGAGCGGGCTTAAAAGAAACAAAAGGGAAAAAAACAATTTCTAGGCGACTAAAAATGTCTTATCTATTAATTTATGACAATAAATATTATTTCAGATTTTCACACAAGCTAAAGAACAAGTATAATCATTGGCAAGTATAAATTATTAGATTTTACTCGTGATTAATGAAATATTGGCAGCACTTCTTCATTTTTATTATAATAAACAGTCATAGCCGGTCTTAAAGAAAATTTCATCTTTATATTAGTCTCGAAACTTCAAAATTTTACCCACTGATATATTTCACTAATTAGAATGTATGAAAGGTTTTATAATGTAGCATTTATACTTGTTCATTTTTTAAAATTATTTACAATCAAAAATTATGCAAGGCTAAAGAGGGTATTAGGCCTCTTTGGAAGCCATCTTGTCTCTGAAAAATATTAATGTTTCTTTAATTTACTAACCAAAAAAAAGGAAAAATAAAGCAACTTCTAAATTGCTTTTTGTTTCAAGTGATTTCAAATGATAAAGATTTAAAAAAAGAAAAAAAATCGCTTCATTAAGTAAGAACATAGCTTGGTATATTCATAGAAGGTTTCACTTTCTCTATGAATATTATTGAAAAAATTGTCTTAACTGATTTTTATAAAATAATCATCACAAATTGTTTCAATGTTTTTTTTTTTTCGATAAAAACAAACATAAAAACTGAAAATGGCAAATGTAGAAAGACAACTTACTCTGACATTCCGAAGAGGCTAGGTGGATAGCAGCAAATAAAACCACTGTGAAAATATCACTCAACAGTTAGTAAATTAGTAAGTTAATGGCATTTATAAAATACTAATTTATTAATGAATTAGTTAATAAACTACACTCTAAGGAGACATGCCTACAGCAATACCGTAGTCAAGCGATTACGCCTTTGCTACTCTTTTAACCTATAAATAAATTGTGTTTTATAATAGAAAACATATCCTTAAATAATATTCACATTATTAATTATTAATTTTTATTAATTACATATTGGCTTGTATGTCCCTCTGTTCTATCAGAATCACAATAGAAAATTATAATTTATAGATCAATTATAAATTTAATTATTTTAATGATTTTAATAATATTGTTTTATTAAAATGGAAAACAAATGAAATGAGAAATGGGTAAAAAAATAATACATTAATAGATTTGTGGTTTTTAAGAAAAAGGTTCTCCCAATAGATCAATTAATAAATGATGTTACAGGATACAATTTGAAATTTATAATTAGCAAGAATTACGAATCCGCTGTTGAAGAGGAGCAAAGGCGAAGTCGGCATTGAGGGGAAGAAAGCCTGCGGCTTCTTCTGAATCCCACCGAAGGACATCGACACACGAACATCGATATATCCACGTTTAAATTATTATTTACAACAGCTAAGATATTAATGGAATTTGACCAGAAACGAAAACATTGTCTAACGTTTAACATGTAATACCTACACACTGACATACACACTTATCTTTTCTCGACGCACTCGCTCGCTCATTCACGTCTCTATTGTTAATATTACACTTTACAGAACGTATAATGGTCCCCAGCATATTTTGCGGGCTCTACTTACCTGATCTCCTACAAGCTTGAGCTACTGTAATATGGGATAACACAATGACTGAAAAAATCAGCAGATATTACATAAATTTTTTTTTTCATATTAGTAAATTTTTTTAAACGTTTTTTTTTCTGACTCAAAAGTGGTATTTCAGGATTTTATAGATTATTGAATATGATAAGATCATATCAATTTCCCTCTAAAAAAAATTGATACATTTTTGATGATTATCCTTTTAATAATAGACCCAACTATAAATTTCCAAAATTTTTTTTTTCATAAACCAATCCTTTCACTTCTCACACACCTACACATAAAACTGTCTTAAAAAACAAAATAAACATATTTATTGTTGTGTTCAGTAGGACTGCAGGTTTTATTCCTTTTCAACGAAGCTTTAAACCTTAAGCCATAGATAGAAAAGCTTTTGGGGGAAAAAAAAGAAAAAGAAAAAAAACAAGGTTGAAAGTGGAACACTGAAAGCTGTTGTTGCATGCAATTTGTTTAAAATATACTTTATGAAAGGATATAAAAATACAGCATGTTGAATATATGATCTATCTATCAATATCGCAGATAAATGTTTTTTAAATAATATTTTTAATGGACACAAAGCAACTACTCAGCCTATTCTAGTGTTGTGTATAAATTAACTAACAGACTATTTTGCCCATGGCCATTTTAATAACTGGTTTTCGTCATTTGAGATAAAAATTTTAACGAGGAATAATTAGAGAATGAAATCGTTTTTGCTTATTACAAATGATAAAAGGACTTGTCAAGTTTATTGAATCAGACAATTAGTACCAATTAAAATATTTCAATCCGTTATATTTACTTGCAAAAGAATTGAATAATGAAAAAAGAAAAGTCGCTAATATAAATGATTAGTAAAAAGAAACAGTTTCACGTACAAATTACAAGCTTGGTGATTTTTACAAAAAAAAAAAAAAAAAATGGATTTTTGAAAATACTACTTATTTCTGTTCAATGGTTTTATGGAAAAACATAAATTGACATTAGTTATATTAAGGTGTAAATGTTATAATTGGAGCCCAGATTTGTATGCAATTGTGTATTATTTTCACTAATACTTACGACCATGGTGATCAGTTATTTGTCAGAATAATACCACCGTGGTACAATGGTTCAAATTTTATTTTGCACATTTTATATTGCAATTTTTTTATTAGAACAAAATAAAAATAAACTAGACAACTGAGAACATGAAAGGAAAAGATCAGAGCATAAAATTTGATTTGATAAACAAATCAAAACATTCAAATTCTCTAGAAATAATTGGAATCTTATTTGAGGCCTCGCTAATTCCAAAACTTTTGGATGCATTTTATTGCCTTTCCTGAAAAATTAATTTTCTTGAGGTAGTCTGGTTGTGAATAGAAATAGGAGCCTCATTTGAAACAAAAACAATCAGTGTTAGTCTCTTTTGAATTATATGATATTTTGTGTGAGTGTAATTTTTCAGTTCTGTTGTTTCAAAAAGAATATGCACTAGACAAAAGAGTCTATTAACAAGAAATTATTTAATTATTAGTGGAGTGTTATCTCTGACATTGCAAATTTTAATGTTTTTAAAGCAAATTACATGTTATATTTGAAGTTTTTTAGTGTATATAATATTGCAAATTTGAGGATTTTTTTTATTGCATATAAATCCGGGCTCTAGTTAATGTTGAAAAATGATTTTTGCAAACATATTAAATAATTTAACACATTTAAAGTTATGACCATTTATTGAAACCCGTTCTCAAATTTTATGCAATATTCAACATTTATTCTCAAAAACTTAACAAGCGCAGTAACATAAAAGGCAAAGCGGCGTTGATAAAAAAGGCAGCAGAAATTTGGACTGAGCAGAAGTCAGTTGGTAGATGTAAAACTAAAGTTTAATTAATGGTACATTTTTAATTATCCTCATTTCTGAATATCCTCGGGTGATATTTGATATAAGCGTTCTTTTGTGTTTATTTAATTAAAGTTTTCCTCTGCCTTGTTTGTTCTTTCTAACTTGATATTTTTCACAGAGCCCGTGAACTTTTCTCTTTTTTTTAAATACGTAGGGATAAATGTCGACAAAATAATTTAAGAATGTTTAAAAGTGATTATTAAACGATTTTGTTTGTATTTAATGCAAAGAAAACAGGCAGATTGTGGTAAGTTTTAGAAGAAAAACCACAGTTTAGTGAAAGATCACCCACAAACCATTCATTACAGATTTGTTTTATTCCAATAAATTTAAAATTTAATAACCTCTGCCCAGTATTCTGTTTCTATTGGAGGGGGGGGGAATAAAAAATGAAAAAATTGGAACTATCTAGATGGAAATTTATAGAAGGGTTTGCTTAACGGCAACCTACAAAATAAAGAAGTGAACTTCAATTTGAGCGGGGGTAGCCTACAAGGTAGTTACAAAAGTGTTTGCTCAGTAATAATAATAAAAAAATATAATGACTAAAATATTTTTGCAAGATGCAAGAATTTCTAACGTAACTTTCTTGATAAAAGAATACTTAAAAGGATGCAATCTTAGTGAAATTTGGCTCATTAGAATTGATATAATGATATTAGGTCTTTACAATTATGTAGCTAGGAGAAGAAAGCAGTATATTAAAATAATTCCTCTTAATCAGGAATGCAGTGTTAAGTAATTAAGGAAAAGTTAATTTTTCAAATCATAGATTGTAAAAGTTAAGTACAATTTGCTTTAAAACCTTGCTTTTCTTTTCAATAAATAAATAAAAACAATTAAAATAACATTATGTTTAGTTGTCTATTGACCAAATTACTTCTTTCAATTAATTATTCTTTTTATGTAAGGTTTTGGTTGAAATGAAAAAGGAAGTGTCACGAGCGGGATTCGAACCCACGACCCTTTAAAACCAACTGTGCTTAGTTTTAAAGGGTCGTGGGTTCGAATCCCGCTCGTGACACTAACTTTTTAATTTCAACCAAGACCTTATATAAAAATAATAATTAATTAAAATAACTTTTGTAACCACCTAGGACTTTATCTTGAATACTAGAGGCAATTCAGCGCGTGTAAAGCATACTTCGGCTACGACAACAGCTTTTGATTAAATAAATTTAAAGAAAAAAGTAAATTAAAAAAAAGGTCAATACTTAATACGTGACGTACCTGTGAATGATGTCAACCATAACATCCCCATGTTTTGACATAAAACGCCGATTATTATTCAGATTAACGACGCCAACATTTCATCGTCCGCTTTTTGCGAATCCCTATAAAAAACTTTGAGCATAAACATACGAGCATAAATAACAAGTTGATTAGTGATGGAATTGAATTGCCGTGCTTAAAACTGAAATAGGATGCAATGAAATAGACGACGGCAATATGACAACCCAAAGAAAAACCTCTTTCATATTATTAATTTTCCAATGCGTAGAACAAAGCTTTTATGAAAAATCGTTATTTATTTCTTAGCCTTGAAATATGTAAACTTTGAAGCTTCACTACTTAATGTTTCAATGGTTTATACATAAATTAGATAATTTATATTTATTTGTATGATGATGTTAAATAAGTAATGAAAGGGTTTCTCTGGATTAATATCAACAGGTTCAAAGCAAGAAATTGCTGTTTTTAACGAGCATAGAACGATAAACACTAAAAAAAGCAATTGTTTAACTATTTTTTTTGTTTATAAAATATTGTTAAAAATACAAATAAATCAAGCTAACCATGGTGTTTTAAAAACTAAATCTTCGCAATTTTAAATTCATTTAAACTGATTCACACCTTCCCATGTAAGAACGAGTTTTAAAACATTATTAATAAACCACACGTATATTTAGTAGTTATAATTGACCGTATTAATTATTGTTAATTAATTATACTTTTTATCTAAGGTCTTGGTTGAGATAAAAAAGCTCGTGACACTATCTTTTTCATCTCAACAAAAACCATAGATAAGATAAAAAGTATAATTAATTAAAAATTATTAATAAAACAGATGAAAGATACACGCAGAATATATTTGTTAATTGAAAATTTTAGTCGGATCTAAAAACAATCTTTTTTTGACAAAAATTTAGGTTTTAGGTTTGAAGTTGAAGATTTTTTCTCCAGTCGCAGCAATGCTGTAGCGACTATTTCTTAGCAACTATGTAGAAAACCCGTCAAAAATGATATTTCAGGTTATAAAGTTCAAAAATATTTCCGAAGAAAGCTTGTAACACACTCGACGCAACGCCACTCAACAGTACGCTACGCGATGCAACCAACCCCAATTATGACTTGGTCATAAAAGTCCATAATGCAAAGAGAGAGCTGAAGAAGGGATTGCTACCAAGACTACCCGGCTTAGAGGAACATGAAGCTAATTGGTTAAGAAATGCACCCAACAGCCAGCGCCAAACTTTTCTGAACGAATGGGTAACCGACACCTGGCAAAGCAGATGGGAAAGTAGTATCAAGGGCAGGCTTACTTATGAGTTCTTTCCCATCATTAAAGAAAGAAAAAAGCAGAGTTGGGTGCAACCAGATTTTTGGTCCACACAAATGCTTACGGGGCATGGAAACTTTGCAGTTTATCTGCACAAATTCAAGAGAGCTAATACCCCAAACTGTCAGTTATGCAATGTTCGTGAAGACGTACGACACAAGCTATTCTTCTGCCCAAGCTTTGTACAACTTCGTCAGGACCTGCGAAACAGTTTTCAGAATATATGGCCTCCAGAATTGAAGGAACTTGTGAAAAGCGAGCAAACGTATCATGTGTTCAAACAGCTTACACAGAGCATCCTAGCGGGTAGTAAACCAAGTACCTGAAAAAAAAACTTTCTAAACCACCTGTGATTAAACTGTGATATATTTAAGTGTGTAACCTTAGTACAGATAATTCCGGGCTGGTTACTTCTTTAAAAATAAATTAACATTGTTATATAGTACTTAAAACTGTGATTGTTCTTTATTGATTAAATTAGTATATTTATATTGTTTTGTAACTTTATATAGTTTTATCATTTTAATTTTGAAATTTTATGTAATGATTGTATGATATTACTGTGTGGAAAGGAGTAACCAGCAAGGGGGAGACCTATTAGATTAGGTCAATTTAAGTAGTACAGAGAGGAAAAATATATATACGCATAACCTTCCACGTGTCCCTCGTTTAGAGCGAGGCGTTATGCTTCCATTTTCCCCCATACAAGAATATAGGACAGTCTAGTGGCCGAGGTCCGCCGGTATGGGGTCTCCCTCAGGTACGGCGGGGAGGTGGATGGGGAAAAAAAAAAACCCCAATGTACAGATTTTCGTTTAGTACACTCAAAAACAAAGAACCGGACACTCATATTTTTGTTGTTCTTGATTTTAAACTGTATGTATTTTTGTCGTTATATTAATTACAACCTGCTTATTTTAATGTGAGCTAAATTAAGTGTTAAGTAGTTAAGTAAAAGTTAATTTTTCAAATCATAATTTGTAAAAGTTAAGTATAATTTCCCTTAAAACCTATCTTTTCTTTATAAAAAATAAATAAAAACAATTAAAATAACTCCATTATGTTTAGTTGTCTGATTGACCAAATTATTCTTTTTATGTAAGGTCTTGGTTGAAATGAAAAAGTCAGTGTCACGAGCGCGATTCGAACCCACGACCTTCGACTATTAGACCACTAAACATAATGGATTGATGTATTTTGTTTTAAAGGGTCGTGGGTTCGAATCCCGTTCGTGACACTAACTTTTTAAACGAGATCAAAAATTCATGAGTCTTAATCAAAATTATTTAAATTGATGGTTTGACAGAAAATTGATCAAAAGACCAGAATACCATTTACTGAATTAGTGAATTTAATTAACAATTTATTACCTCGTTTTGTTCTTAATAACGCATTAAAAGCAAAACTAGATTAAAAAAAAGTTAGTTAAATTACACTTTTTCACTGAATTATTTTCCGGTGTTGGGCGAATTTTCTTTCAAACCGTCATAATTAAATATTTTTCTAATCAAAACTCATGAAGTTCTGATCTCGTTTAAGTTGTAATTAATATAACGATAAAAATACGTATAGTTTGAAATAAACAACAAAATATCTCCGGTGTCTGGTTTTTTTTGTCTTGAGTGTAATATACAGGGTGTATCAACTTGTATAGACCACCCATTTAATTCAGAAACGATTAACTTTAGCGAAAAATGGTCTTATACAAGCTCCAAGTTAATTTTGGCTAGGAATCGCATAGTGGTAACAGATTTAACATAACTTTCTCATCTGGCTGGGAAATGACACTAAATTTGTTATTTTAGGTAAAAATTCCATATTTTTATTGAAATTTGATTCTAGAGCTTATTTTATGCCACTTTTACTGACAGGAAAATTTTGATAGGATCGACCGTTTCTGAGTTATGCCCTATGGATGAGCGTGAGGGGGTATGGTTTTTGTAACAGGATGGCCTACCCCCTATATTTCGAAAATGATTAGCATTAGAAAGTTAAATTAGGTTTTATATATATGCTATATATGATAAATTGTATATAATAATTTTTGTTAGTTTTCCGGATCCTTTCCTCTGTTGCTTCATTTAGTTCATAAAATTTATGTTGTGGCGTCCGAAAATACAAAACAGAAATACTGAATCGATAAGCACTTTTTCCTTTTTTAATATAGAAACTTTCACTTCCTGAACATAAGTCTGTTCGTCGTTGAAAGCAAGCAGATCGCTGCTTCTGCCATTTCTTCCATGTCATCCTCAGAAGTGCTTGCCTCGAACAGATGTGCACAACCCACCAACGTGCGCCAAGGCGTAGCGTTGCGTAGTTCCCCGCTTAAAACATATTCATTCGTCTTGCATGTCAGGTTGCATGCAATTTTAATTTCGACGTCTCCGTATATTTATTCATGAGAAACATGAGAATTAAGGGAGTAACGTTATCGAGACTTATTTCACGCAACGCAAAACAAATATATTGCGAACTTGCGTATTAATTTATAAATCTAAATCCTGCGAAAGCCTCCTTTTTGAAGGCGAAAAAAACCTATATATATATATATATATATATATATATACAGGGTGAATTGCTACTCGTGCTACAAACTTCACCAGTAGATTCTTGACCCTAAAATGAACAAAAAAGTTCATATTGTCCATGGTCCGATTCTCAACCATTTCAGAGTAATTTCGCTTTTTATCGATTTTGAAAGATATCACGTCCTGGCGTCGGAAAATCGTGATATCTTTTAATCTAAACATTTCTCTGAAAATCTAATAGCACCGTTGAAATTCCCGTTAATTTTTCAATAAGAAGATGACGGTGCCAAAATGTTTGGGCTAATTTTTTGTGTTTTATTTCAGCCAGAACTACAAAAAGAGTGGAAAATTGTGTAAATCGGAAAGTGTATAAAGTAATCCAGAGTTTCTAATTTTAGTCTCAGAAGGCAGCAAATTTGAGGAAAACTACCTGATTTAATAACGCTTCCAACGCACTCGTCATTTTCTTATTTAGTGGTTGTGAGACCAAGATGTTGATGACAAAAAGAGAAAAAATGGTGGTTCAAGGATTGCTAATGTTTGAGAGTGACTTGCTACTCGTGCTACAAACTTCACCAGTAGATTCTTGACCCTAAAATGAACAAAAAAGTTCATATTGACCATGGTCCGATTCTCAACCATTTCAGAGTAATTTCGCTTTTTATCGATTTTGAAAGATATCACGTCCTGGCGTCGGAAAATCGTGATATCTTTTAATCTAAACATTTCTCTGAAAATCTAAAAGCACCGTTGAAATCCCCGTTAATTTTTCAATAAGAAGATGAAGGTGGCAAAACGTTTGGGTCTTTCTTCCTTGACCTTCTAGCTGTTTGTAAACTTCTTAAGCATTACATACTAAATGGGCATTAAATTAAATTAAAAAATTTCAATGGAATTATGATTTTGATTCTCTCTAAAAATTAACGGGGATTTCAACGGTGCTTATAGATTTTAAGAGAAATGTTTAGATTAAAAGATATCACGATTTTCCGACGCCAGGACGTGATATCTTTCAAAATCGATAAAAAGCGAAATTACTCTGAAATGGTTGAGAATCGGACCATGGACAATATGAACTTTTTTGTTCATTTTAGGGTCAAGAATCTACTGGAGAAGTTTGTAGCACGAGTAGCAATTCACCCTGTATATATAAAACTACTCAAGTTTTCCAACTCCACTTATTGCTGGCATGCTAGCATATTTTAATTTAGTTCACGAATCTAAATCCTGCGAATAAATCTCATTTTGAAGACGAGAATATAAAAAATACTTATACGTAAAAAGTGTATCCACGTTTTTCAACTTCCAACCACAACTTATTGCAGAATTACCAGCGTATTTTAATTTAATTCACAGGCCTAAGTCCTGCGAATAAGTCTCATTGTTGAAGACGAGAATAACAAAAAGAACCTATACAGGGTGTACCAGTTCCTTCTGACGAAACTCAGGGAATCGATTCTACTCTTCGTTTGGAGCAAAAAATGCTCAGGAGAAAATTTTTGGAAATTTCACTGTTTTGAAGAAATTCGTCAATTTAGGTTTTATCAACTTTTCACTACCTTACCACATAAAAACGCTTACAACTTCCAAAATGTTGAAACTACAACAAATCCAATTACACCATTTGAAAGAATGCTAAATTTGCAGTAAGATACTTCTATTTGCAATAATCTGAATGACATAAAATGTTAGCCAATATCAGTTGGAACATGTCAAAATTACAAAATTTAAAATTTTGGTCATGATTGCACGTTCTACTGAGGTTACAAAAAAATACCTAAAACTTGTCAAATTTCACAAAAACTTCTTCATCTAATATGCTTTACGTTGATATATCCAGGTTTTTAAATAACGTTCTAGCAGAGTTGGAAAATAACAATTGAATGTTCGAAAACGTGAGCTAAGGTAAATTTGAGCATTTCCTCTGAAAAGTTCCTCCTTTGTTGTTAGGTGCTTGCTACAAGAAGAACCATTGCATTTTATTGTATGAAGCTTTCTGGTATGGTTTTTGTGAGATTACAGATGTGTCATTTTTATTTTACAAAGCGAGTTCTAATTGATTTATTTCTACCCCCCCTTCAAACTGATATTGGCTAACATTTTATGTCATTCAGATTATTGCAAAGAAGTATCTTACAGCAAATTTAGCGTTCTTTCAAATGGTGTAATTGGATTTGTTGTAGTCTAAACATTTTGGAAGTCGTAAGCGTTTTTATATGGTAAGGTAGTGAAAAGTTGAAAAAACATAAATTGATGAATATCTTCAAAATAGAGAACTTTCCGAAAATTTTCTCCTGAGCATTTTTTGCTCCAAACGAAGAGTAGAATCGATTCCCTGAGTTTCGTTAGAAGGAACTGGGACACCCTGTATATAACAAGTGTTCCCAAATTTTATAACTCTTTTATTGCTAGCATATTTTAATTTACTTTACGAGTCTAAGTCCTGCGAATAAACCTCATTTTTGAGACGAGAATATAAAAAAAAAAAAACTTATATAAAAGAAGTACCCAAGTTTTCCGACCCCCTTATTGTTGGAATGCTAGCGTATTAAATTTAATTTACAAATCTAAGTCTTGCTAACAAATCACATTGTTGAAACGGGAGTATAAAAAAATACTTATACATAAAAAGTGTATCTACGTGTTCCAACCTCAACTTATTGCTGGAATAATTTATAAGCCTAAGGCTTGCGAACTTCACATTTTTAATGTATATCTGAACATGTTGACGAAGAAAACAATTTGATCTGCCGGCTGGGATTTTTTCCACCCCTTTGTCGCTCGTATTTAAGTGCCGTAATGCGTAAACACGTGCGGTTCACGCCGAAAAATTGCTTTTTTTTTTCACGGAACTTTTTCCATTGTGAAAAGCAATATCAATTTAATCTATTAATAAATTTAAAAAAGATTTTAAAGATAAAAAACAAATTAAAAGGATTTTGTTTACAAATATTTTGCTCGGTATCAACATCAATATCGATTCAAATTATTTATGTTTTGTGTTTGAATAGGTGAATACAATAGTACATAGTAAACATTGAACAGGCCAAAATCGACAAGGAATTTATTAAGCATGTTAAGGGTATAGAACACCTTGATCGATTGCTTCCTCTATATAAAAAAAATACGAGGTCGAACATTCCGTTTTGATCGTTTCACAAAAAAATAAAAAATAAAATAAACCCTTTCAGGAAATTTTTTATTTTTCTAGTTTTAATATGTGTGATGTGGTTGCCTGAATGTTTGTATATTGTGTGTACGGAGGGTAAGAATAGATGAGCGTATAAAATAAATCTCAGTAAATGCGTAATTAAACGAGTTCAGTGTGATATATTTTTATTTAAAAAAAATGAATAAAAGCGTAATGTTTAAAAGTTGAACTTACCAAATAGCGGATATTTGCACAACCGGACTAGCATAATCTACTGGGTCTGGCTTTAGAACGGGCAGAAAGACAAAAGAAAGAATAAATTGTAAATAGAGAAGAAGATGAAAAATGAGTTTATGTTTCTAAATAGTTGTAATATTGATTTTTATGCGGTGTTCGCGGAGGTCGTGTTCGGTGAAGTACGTACCGTTTGGATGGGGAATAGGCAGCCACTGGGGTTCGCGGGGCCCGCCTCGGCTTTTCAGATTCGGCCAATTGTGGACATATCCATTTTTCCCCTCTTTGTGGACGACGTCGGCCTCTGCCCCTGCCTGTTAATCCGACCAGACTGGTTTATCCGCAGAATGGCAGCGCAGGCGCGGCCCCCGACCAGAAATAACAGAGGGACGGTCGTCCGTCCCGCTGACACCGTGGGCCCGGTCATGCTTTTAAAAATTCAAACCGTCTTCGTCGCGGTAGAGGGAAAAATAACAATTTTGATAGAATTGCTACTGAGATTCTATAAATTAACAGATTGAATATCAGGCATGAGTAAATAAAGCATCATAGAAGACGTTTTGTAAAAGTTACACCAATATTTAATAATGTCTATTTTAACATGAACGCAATGCAAGGACGGTAAAGATAGATAGATATAATGATTCAGGGTATGGTATACTGCGCCCTTTAAGAGCTATTGTATCCCCTGTGCTCTGCCTAAAGCACATCGGTGAGTCCTATTTAATCAAGAAACTTGATTAATAGGACCGGTTTCAGTGGTTGTAGTTCTTCTGTGGTCACATTATACATCCCAAAACACTTCCTCCTGCGGGCTAGTGTGGCTCCGCAGTTTGTTAGTAAGTGTGTCGGTGTCTCTTCTGCTTCTTTGCAGAATCTGCATGTGCCATCTTGGATTATTCCAATTTTCCTTAAATGCCCATTTAATCTACAGTGTCCTGTCAGGAATCCCGTTAGGATTCGCAGTCTGTTCCTGCTTCCTTTGACACATTCTGTGATTTCTTTCTTGCCAAAGTTGGTTAGAAGATTCTTGGATTGTCTATGTCCAATAAGTGAATTCCAAAGTTCGCTCATTTTCTTACGGTAAAGATACAAATTCTTCAATGTTTCACATATACAAAAATGGATATCTTACAGGTGTAGATGTATTAATCGGGGTGCTTGGTACACTGCACCCTTTAAGAGCTATTGCAGTCCTAGTTCATTAAGGAACTTGATTAGTTGCGCTGTACATCCCAAAAACTTCCTTCTTCGGGGAAATGTGGCGCCATGGTTAGGTGTGGTGGTAAAGAGAGTATCAATAACTGGGGCATGAAACAATTCCTTAGGGAGTGGAATTTATCCCCGGACACAGGCAATCGAAAGAGTTTGTTAAGGCGATCAAACCAGCTGAATCGAAATGGCTATTCTCTATCTCAAGGAAGAGAATTAGGAGGCTGATAGGTATTCTGATGGGCCACTGCCCACTGAGAAGACACCTCTTCGTAACGAGTATCCTACCAGATCCCTTTTGCCGCTTCTGAGAAATAAAAGAAGAATGCATTACCTCGCAGAATGTGATAGGTATGCTAGGTCTAGATTTGAAATCTTTGAAGGAGAGGACATCACCAAATCACTCCCCGAGATAAAATGGTCCAAAATCTTGGGGTTTGTGAACAAGTCCAAGAGGTTTATGCAGGACACGTGAGCCGACCAAGTCCCGGACCTTTTAGGGATGGGGTACGAGTCTACCCAGGCATTTAACCCCTCGGGTCTTGGTCGCCCACCCTGCATAATATATATATTCTTAATTCTGCTGGTCTGTCCTCTGCTTCTTTGCAGAATCTGTGTGCCTTGTTGGGTTATACCAATGTTCATCAAATGCTTTTTTGTTCTGCAATCTTCTGCTTCTTTAGTCTGCAGTGTCCTATTAAGAATCCTGTTAAGCTTCTCAGTTTTTCCTTCTTCCTTTAATTCTATTACTTCTTTCCTTTCAAAACTTGATAGAAGGTTCTTGGATTGTTTTTGTCTGATGAGTGAATTCCGCTGTTATCCCATAACAATAAGTTTGTGTATCAGCATCCAACTGGCTTAATAATACATTAGCTCAATTAATTCTGCCGAAAAAGAAAGATGACGGTTTTTTTGTTATAAAGTTCTGGTCTTAACATAACACATTTGGATAAAACATGCAACAAGAAGAAACTCACATAATTATTAAAATTAATTAAGGTTTTCAGTTGAGATAAAAAAGTCAATGGCACGAGCGGGATTCGAACCCACGATCTTCGGCTAGATACGCCGCTGCTCTACCACTTGAGCTACCGTGACCTCGATCCACTCGGACATCAACTTCCCATCTCAACCACACCATTTGAATTTCCCCCCTTTTTTGCCATTTTTCAAATGTCGTGTAATCAATATGATTCTCGGCGACAAATGCTTTATCTCAACGATAACCTTAATTAATTGTAATATATTAATTGGTCAAGCGGACCACGAAACTAGTGAATTGAATAAGTTTAAAATGAAGTATACTTCACTAAAGCTCTCCGTGGCCGTTTCATTTGTCGCTGAGAATCATATTGATTACACGACATTTGAAAAATGGCAAAAAAAGGGGAAAATTCAAAAGGTGTGAATATTGTCGCTCCGGAAATCGTGTCCGCATCTAGTTTGAGTCTGAGCCATGTCGAACGAAAGCGCTTTCAGGGATTGCAGTGGCACTTTACTAGCTCTAAGGAGTAAAAAAAGAGTTAACAAAAAGCCACCACGTTGGTGGATTCGTGGGATATTCAAGGATCGGGGATAAGCATGGGCACCATCTTCTTGTCACACTGAGTCCAGTCGACTACGAATGTCTTTTGGAAATGGTTGGACATTTCGAAAAAGGAGACGAATTTTAGGGTGCCAGTTTCTGCTACCAACAAGCTAGCAATCACTCTCCGTTTCCTCGCAAGTGGAGACTCTTATGCAAGCCTCATTTCATATTTTTGGGCTAACTTAGCCACAGGGTCTACTTTCTTTCCCCTGTCTTTCCTATTCCTCCGAGGAAACGTCCCACAAACATCGCTATGTTTGCAAATCTTCAGACATTGTTGCGCGACATTGAGTAAAGAATCCCATGATGGGATTCAAAAAATAATAAAACGCAACACACCAGATTCAAGACTCATTGTTGCGGAGCGTACCGGATGGAAGAAAACTCCCAGACGCAGTTCCGCGCCAAAGAGTCCGAACTGAGAATCCCAGTGCGTACTGGGCTTTAATGGAAAAATGTATTGAGGAAAAATTTACAAGAAATGATCTAAAAAATGAGCACCTCATCTACTCTATCAAGACAAACACGCGGGGTTAGGCGGAACGTGACCGAATTGCAGTACGAATGGCAGACGAAGATCTATGATGTTCTGAAGATCCAAGCACTAAGGAACTAGAACAAGCCAGAAAGCTGCAGTGCTTGGAGAAAAAACAACCCAGACTTCCTAGTACCATATTCATCATCATCTAACTAAACTAGTATTATCCTGGTCACGGCACAAAATATAGGGCGTCGGTGGCCGCGACGGTTTAGCGTTGACACGGCGCTCATCACTTAAGGTAAACATCCCGGGTTTCTAATGATGGGCCGCTGGATTCGAACCCCAAATATTTACAAATGTTTTTTTTTTTCAAAAACACCGGTACCCCGAGGGTTCATATAACACATAAACCTAACCTTCATATAATTAGTAATAATTCTGAAATTCTGAGGGGTGTAACAAACAAATGATTTGTAATGTCTTATCCAGAGTAGACTTGTAGCAAACACGAAACTTAATAGCATACTTACCAATTGTTTATTACAGATATTATACAAGCATTATATATATGTTATAAATACATATATTTTTTTAAACGACGGTTCGCAACAGCAGAGGCCATATCAACCCTCGGGATGCCGGTGTACAAGCGATGATTGCGATGTTACAATGCATGTTATTTAAATATTAATTATTCTTTCTACTTAAGGTCTTGGTTGAGATAAAAAAAAGTCAGTGTCAAGAGCGGGATTCGAACCCACTACCTTCGGCTAAATACGCCGCTACTGTAACACTTGAGCTATGGTGACTTCGATCCTCTCGGACACCAACTCTTCTCAACCTACAACCGTTCGAATTTTCCCTCTTTTTGCATTTTCCAGTCGGTGTCGGAGAGCGGCGTATTTAGTCGAAGGTCGTGGGTTCGTATCCCGCTCTGTGACACTGACGTTTTTTTAATCTCAACTAAGACCTTACATAGAAAGAATAATTAATTGAAAGAAGTAACTTGGTCAATTGACCACTAAAACGTAAATGGTTATTTAAATAATTACGCCATCTCGTTGAGAGGGTTTATCTAGTTGAATCGAAGAATTCATCTATTGCGTTTCTTATTTCGACATTGGACGACCTTTTGACAAGAGCTATTTCTAGATATTGGTATTTTTAGTACCTGTAATGTGTGTTCAGTGTATGCACAATTTTCCTATTCTGTCTAGCCTTGTCGTGGTGTTTAGAATCGTAACCTGGACATGTTTTTTTTTATATCTAGAGAGTCCTTTAACTATAATTATTTTCTTAAGATTATTCACGTTTGTCATTAGAACGATGAACCTGTTTAAAATTGCAGCAGATTATTTTATTTTTGTACTCAATGTGAACAGTACCACTTTTGACATCCATAAACTTTGTAGATAAAATATTCGTAGAGCTTTCGAACCGCATGCCGCATAGTGATTTCACTTTGTCAAACATAATCTTAAGCGAATGCACGGCGCAAAGAATAGGCTCGACCTTCACGACCTAGAAGTGTTGCGGAACACCGTCGAGATTCCCCCCCCCAAAAAAAAACGTGAATTTGTGCAGTCGTTTCCGATTATTTTGATCTGCCAATCATCGTTGATTTAGTTAAAAACGACCAAACTGAATGTTCATTAAACCGCAAGCCCATAAAATGATCTTGCGATATATAGGCTTCTTTTTCTATTATATTTTCCACCGTATTTTATTTATTTGTATATTTATATATACAAACGGATCAAAGATCCTTTTACAACGAATATAAATCACGAGGTTATAAACAATTTAAGTAGTAGATAAAGAAAATTGATAAAATAACAATAACAAAACAACAAGAAAGACTAATAATAATAATAATAAACAATAAACGATATTTACATATTTTATGTAATAGATTCATTATATTTTATATAATACAACTATATTTATTTCAATTTATTTTAATATTTTTTAAAATAAAATTATTGCCTTTAATTTACACTTAAATCCACTGAAATCTAGATGAAAAAAATCATTATTTGAACATATCTTATTTCCTCCTCTCATTATTCTATTTATCGGTGAGTAAAGTATGTAATTTATTTTACTAAAGGGAACACTGAACGTAGATGAATGTCTGGTAGCATGTTTTGGGACATTGAAAGTGATACATCAGTACAATTTAATCGCCCATTGATTATATTGTAAAGAAATAATAGATAAAAAACGCTTTCTGTCAGCTAGTGCTGGGAAATTGTAAAGGAAAAAAGACAGTTCTGAGGATGAAAGGAGAGGAAGTCTATAATGAAGGATTATAATAAATTTATTTTGAACTATCCAAAAATTCAGAATGGGAAGAAAAGTTTAGATTCCATTCAACAGTATGGACAACAATGACAATGATAAATTTATCCATTATATTTTCCACTATAGATAATTTTTATTGTCAATTGTTAGCCCTATTTTTGAAGGTGAAGGTTTTTATTTTTCAATTAATTATTCTTTATATGTAAGGTTTTTGGTTGAGATGAAAAATTAGTATGAGTGGGATTCGAACCCACAGCCTTCAGCTGAATACGCCGCTGCTCTAACCACGAGCTATCGTGACTTTGATCCACTCGGACACGAATTCCCCATCACAACCTACAACCGTTCGAATTTTCCCTCTTTTTGCCAATTCCAAATGTCACAAATGTAATGATTTTAAACTCTTGCAAGTTATATTACTATTAAACAAAATCGTTTTTCAGATTTGAAGCGGAAATTAATCAGGTTATTTCAAGAGCCTTGCAATGATTTTTTTATTAACGCATAACTTAATGTGTTTTTCTGGTGATTTTGACCAGTTTTCCCTGAAGGGAAAATTTATTTTTCAAATGATATGACTCGATTATAAGAGAAAATCTATTGGTAGATAAGTTTAAAGAAAGATTTCATTGTAAATTATAAATAGTGGGGGACCCATGATTGAACCTGTGGTACTCAGATTTGGCATTTTCACAACGAAATTCTTGTTCTTTGGTTCAAATTTATAAACAAAACTAATCCTTGCTCTTCCATGTTGTATTACATTATTAATTAATTTTGGTGTTTTATACAAAGTTTTTGTTTTTGAAAAGTACAGAAAACAAAATACCACTTTGAATGACGGTAAAAAAATTATCTTAAGTGCAAGAACAGTTAATGTTAACTGCTTTGATCTCAGTAGGCCACAGGGAGCTGTTAGTGAAGTAATTACTTCTTTTAATCTGTATTTGCTCAGTGGTCATAATTTACCAGATTAATTATTCTAATTAATTATTCTTTTTATCTAAGGTTTTTGGTTGAGATGAACAATTAGTTGGTGTCCGAGAGGATCAAAGTGAGGATAGCTCAAGAGGTTATAGCAACGATGTACTGGGCAGAAGGTCATGGGTTCAGATCCCGCTCGTACTAATTTTTCATCTTAACCAAGAACTAGATATAAAGAATAATTAATTGAAATAATTAATATAGTCAATTAGGACTACTAAGGAATTTTATTGTTTATGTTTTTGAAACACACAGCCTTTCTTTGAGGTACAGTGAAAAAAGCCTCTTTTAGGCTCGAGGTGAAAAACTAAGTGTGAGAGTTTTATTCTGTTAATTTTTTTTTGTCAAATTTAACAACCTTTCTCCTGCTCAGATCCAGTAAAAGCTAATGTCTGTGGATTCTCTGGAGCAAACTTTCTCCCGGGTGACATGAAGTAATAATGATTAGATGAATTTGTTCACCTCAGTAGAACCTATGCTTGAATTTGTCACACTTAAGGAATTGGACAAAGAGATAAAAATAATAAAAACTCCATGCCATGATGACATTTCTTCCATTGCATACAAGCATCTCCTCAGAAAGGCCATAAGGTTGCTTGTCAGTGTATTCAACAGCTGTTTACATCTAGAATACTTCCTGAATACATGGAAACTTGCAGAAGTAATCATGTTGCACAAGGCGGGGGGGGGGGATAAAAAACTTGGAGAGAGCTACCAACCGATAAGCTTTCTCCCTATAACGGAATACTCTTGGAAAAATGCATTAAGAGACGTATGCCATTTGTTGCAGAAGCTAAACCAGTTTATCAATTTGGTTTTACGGAACCCCAATCATTGCTGTTCAAAAGTGTTTTTGAAATCCGTGGAAAGGCCCTCCTTCTGTGTGGTGCCATCTTTTCATACTCTAATAGAATATTGTTACTGGTTCCTCGCCAGACCGTTGGCAATTCACCCGGTCGCCGGGTACCTGGGGCTCAATGGAGATTTTTTCCCGTGGCCGCTTCGTCTCCAAAAATGAAATAATCGGGCGCCACACTGTTTTTATATATTTTTTTCCTTCTTTTAGGAAAACAGTGAAACCCTCAGGGTGAAATAACAAGATAAATTAAAAAAAAAATAAAAACACGACAAGAAAGTAAAATATCAATGTCCTCTGTATTGTGAATAAAAAAAAAAAGAAATAAAACCTCTTCAAAATTAAAACAAAAAACAAAACTGTCCAGAAACCAATCTTATAATATAAATTCACTAATTTCGTGGTCCGCTTGACCAATTTATATATTACAATTAATTAAGGTTTTTAGTTGAGATAAAAAAGGAAAAATGGCAAAAAGGAGGGAAAATTCAAAAGGTGGGGTTGAGATGGGAAGTTGGTGTCCGAGTGGATCGAGGTCACGATAGCTCAAGTGGTAGAGCAGCTATCTAGCCGAAGGTCGTGGGTTCGAATCCCGCTCGTGCCATTAACTTTTTTATCTCAACTAAAAACCTTAATTAATTGTCTTATAATATAAATTAAAAGCTTGAACCTCGTGTACGTTGTTTTCCTTCTCGTTCCAGAGCAGTTCTCCCCTCGCACACGCGAACCCTCTACTCCACGGCGATGAGAAAAAGTCCCAAAATAATTAAATAAAACACTATCACTTTCCTTTTTTGCCCGGCTCGTCCACACCGACCAGTCTCAGCTCGAGTCCTCCTTGTTCACGCCGTTCGGGCCCCACTCCTTGCCAGCATACCTGCTGAATTGCCACCCGCACGTCTTCAGCCTCTTCCAGGCCTCGCTCAACCTTGCCGATGGCACCCTCATCTCTGCCAGAGTCTGGTCACCCCAGTGTAAAAAAAAGTTTTTTTTCCTCTCATTTTCGCTTGTAACAATATGCTTCACATTTACTAGTACAGGGTGAATATTCTTGTTAATGAGGCCTGGTGTGGCCTCTTCTATTATAATTTTAATTAATTATTCTTTTTATCTAACCAGGAGTTGGACTTAAAAAAAGTCCCGATAGCTCAAACAGTTAGAGCAGCTGAACGTCGTGAGTTCAAATCTTGCTCATGACACTAGCTTTTTCATCTCTCCCAAGACCTTAGATAAAAAGTACAACTAATTAAATTAATTTATACGGTCAATTATGACTACTAGATACATATATTATAATCAATATTCAATATAAAAAATAAATAATTAAGTTTACTTGAAAATGATATTTATTGATAACTAAATAAATTTTATCAATATGGTTCATTATATGGATGAGGGAGCTCATCTGGTTCACAGGTAGAAAAAAAAGCATCTGTCATTTTTGGTGGGATATCAAGAGAATCCATCCAATAAAACTTGGGATGCCGTTTCATGTAAATGTCGAGTATTCTTTCCTGGATGTCCATTTCAGGTGATCGTTCGCCTGGTGGTAGATCGTATGCCAAAGTCGTCAGGAACTCACGCAGGTCCTTTTCAAACAAAGACTCCTTCTTGCCTTTTGGTTTTTTAATCTTTTTGAGGAACTCCGCTCTTGTCATATCGCTCATTCTCATGCCGCTCTTCCTCTTCTTCTTGCGCTTTTTCTCCTTTTCCCCACCATATACGGACTTGTAAGCAGCTTCTTTACCTTCTTCTGAAACTAGTTTAGTAAATTCATTCTTCTTTTGCCAGGCCGATTTGTGCTGAATCATCCTTCTCGTCCATTTCATTTTTAGATCTCTTATCTTTTTACGAATTATATCAATAAGAAATCTCTTTTTCATTGCCATCACTTGATCTTTCATAAACCTGCTTCTATGCAGGGCATCTGAAATTAAAACAGTTAACTAAAAAATGCAGGACAAAAAAATTAGATCTAGGATTTTTACCCATTGCAGCATTTGTAGTGATACGGTCCAACGGCATCTTGGCCCTCTCTAATGTCAGAATCGTGTCCCAAATACTACTGTTTTTCAATGGTTTATCCAAACACTTATATCCCAAAATATTGTATTCATTTTTCCTGCACTTGGTAGCTATGATAAATCAGTACAAAAAAATTGTACAATTGTATGTTGTTTAAAAATAGCTTATATTGTATAATTTTATAATTTTTTTCTGGCATGATATGTAGATTTGAATGAGGGGAGAAATTAATTTTAAAAAAATATACCATTAATGCTTACCTTTCAGCAAATCAAAAAAGTGGTGCAGATTATAACTACCATAGGCGTATGATTTAACCCAGTTTCTCAGAATCTCAATAATGTACTCAGCATAAACATCATCTTTTAGTAATGTGAGAAGTTCTATTGCATCTGGCAATATGTGAGTCTCTTCATGATATTTTTCAAGCCAATGTGGAATCAATCCAGGATCGACTATATCTGAAATTAAAATCAAAATTAATTCGATCTTTGTACTTTGCTTACAGTCCATGGCTTACTGTCATAATACTGAGAATCAACAGAAAAAGTTGTCACATCGAATGGATCTTGAATCATGTCCAGCATCGATCTGTTAAAGATGAATCGTTCGAGCATTGTCTTTACCATGTACAGTATGCTCGCACGTCCTCCGTCATCCTCATAGGTTTTACGTTTGACTTGTAATGATTGGAGCAGTTCGCACATTTCGATGTTTTCATCAACACTAGAACCTTCATCTTCATCCTCCAAAAGATGGAGGTCAGCTTCCGATAGTTCCAAATATTCCTCCATTATTTCATAGCTTTCCGGAGAGTAGTAGTGTATGTTATTGTACTCATCCAATATCGTCACTCTTCTTTCGGCTTTTTGAACGCAGTACTTCATTAGTGCAATCTGTTTCATTTTCTTCATTTGTTCTCTTGCTTCTACAACATCACTGTCAGAAGAGCATTGTGTCAGTTGTGTTTTAACGTCCACTGTCTCAATTACGTCTATTGTCGGACCACCTTCATTTGCAGAAACCGGGCGATTGTGGACAGATTTTTTAAAAGAATGAAGGCTAAGATGTTCTCTCACGTTTTCTTCCTCTTCCATCTCTTCACCGCAGTCGAAATAATACCAAGGATAGCCTTTGACCAGCTTCGGTTTAAATGTTACTTTCTCATACCATTTTTTATGGCATATCATATCTTCGTCTCCTTCTTCAGTCCTTTGACCATTTGTGCCAAAAAGGTCCAAAGATTCTTCCTCACAATTTTCCCACTCTTCATTTTCATATAAAACTTCATTTGGATATAACCATTCCTCTTCTTCCATCTCCTCTTCTTCGTCTTTACATTCAAAATCGAATACCTCAATTTCTTCATATATCTCGTCAATTTGATCAAACAGATTTTTTGATGAATTGGGGTTTAGCGAATCATAAGAGACTGTTAAATTAAAAAAAGACATTGTTAGTTATGAAGATGAAAACACACACACCTAACAATTTTATATTACAGTGAATGATTTAGTAAAAATATTGTTAAACCTATTTGTTTATACTTACTTGAAGGTTTATATTCTGGTTCTATGTCTAACTCATTATAATGATCAATCGTTTCGTTTAAATTGTTGGCTATCTCAAATTCTGTGAAGCAACAAAACGGTGTGACTGTCAAAGCCGATTCATATTTGGTTTTTGAAGTGATCGAACTGAACGCACAGAGGGGGCAGAGGGCTTTTAAACCCGGGCCCAAAAAGTACGGTGCAAGGACCCCCATTCCCAAAAACGGGTTGCTCCTCATGTTGAAGAACGTTTGCGTCTTCCTGTCGTAGTTCAAACTCCTTGGAAATTGGTCATGGTTGACATTTATATGCAACACTTGGCCTAAATTGAAAAGCTTCTGGTAAAGCTTGTTCTTTGCGGTTGTAGAATTATTGTTACATACAATATCTGATATTGTTTCAGCCAAATAAGCGAGATTTTGATTTTTCACCTTTTCCTCATTGTACACTTCTCTGATCTCTTTCATCTGTTCGATTGTATTTTGAACGTCTAGACATAAATTTGGTTCGTCTTCTAAATCAGTTTGTGTTATGTATTTGATGTACATTTGATCACTTGCAAAAACATTGACTTTGAACGTTTCTCCCATCGTGGTGCTAGTAGGCGATTTGGGAAAGTCGATGGCGTATGATTTCTCTTCTGATATAGTTATAGGTTTGTCTTTGTCAGAATAAGGCACTGTATCTAAGGACATTCCACTTGTAAACTTATATTCACATTTACCAAGATACGGGAAAAATTCTTCAAAACTTTCTTCCGGCTCGATAAAAAAAGTGTCGACGACTTTAGGAGGCAGTCTTATCCGACCCTCTCCTGCATACTCCCCACCATAAAAATGTTTATACGGGTACGACTTCCCTTCTCCTTGATACTTCTTTATAAAATAATTTTCATTGTATCTTTTATTAAAATTACTATCAAAAGTAGAAACTGTGGTTGGTACAAAATCTTCTTCTATAATGTCCTCGGTCACGCTTGGTATTTCACTTTGAAAGCCTCCGATGGTACTGACTACAGTGCTTGCAAATTCCGATGCCTCTTCCTCGGATTGCCTTCCTGAATACCACTCAGATTCAGTAGCCTGCGAAGTAAATTCTGCCTGTAATTTTATACACGAAGCTTCACTGGCATCTTCATAGGCCGAGTACGGATCAAGTTTGAAATTGCTCTCTTCATTCAAGTAGTAGGATGCACCTTCGAAATGTTCAGACTCGGCCAAATCAATTTTTTTAAATTCATCGGAAAGAGATGAGGGTAAATATTCTGAGCTGCTGATTTGGTGAATTGTAATTTCCATTTCCTCTGTACACACAGCCACTTCTTCTTCTTTCTTCTCATGTTGCTCTTTAAGTTTTAGTATAAAATTCCAAAGCATTTCTTCTTGAGATGAAGTCATATTAAATTTACTGACCTCTTGTGCCATTTCATCCTTCCAATCTTTAAGTTCAGCAGGGTTCATATCACCCTTGTTGTTGTATAAATGATTAAAGTACTTGAGCGCGTGAGTGAAAGAATAATCATCCAGTTCACGATAATCATCTACATACTTGAAAGAGTTCATTTCTTTCTCTATTTCTAGAGCATCTTCCTCTTTATTCGCTGGAGGATTGAGCTTATTCTCTTCAAACAACATGATCATTTCGAGGCTTCCTGAATTCACGATAGAGATCTCCGGCCTCCAAATGATACTTTCTTCTGACCTCACCGTTGAAGGTTCTAAAGGGAGCTCTTCAAACTCAATGATTGAATTTTCCGAGATAGACATCGGGTTGTATTCTATAATTTCGTCAACTTGAGGGAGTTTGGGAACTTGTAAGTCTTTAGTCAAAACAAACCAAGTGGGGTACTTCATCGCCTAAAACAGAAAACGCGTCATTCTGATTTTATTTTGTTAGACGGATCACTTACAGGAGGCCAGAAACGCTTTGGGACTTCGACTGCTTGGTCTAATTGAAAATTTTCATCTAGGTCTTCGCATTCCAGTATTTCGTAGAAGCCGGCAATTGCAGTCATATAGTGGTTAGCCCTTTTGTAAAATTTAGCCAGACACTCTTCCCTGCAGGTGCTCAAGACCCGGCCGCCACATGTAAATATGCATTTCTTATTTCCAGGCACATAGCGTTCACCACTGAATTTAATCAAAACAAATTAAAAGTTGAAAATAACAATTTTCATTGCAATATCTTTCATTAAAGGTCAATTTATTTGATTTATAGATTATTTTTTTAAATTATTTGTAAAATTCCTTTATACTTTTTGATACAAACTATGACCAAAGGAGGAACTCTTTTATTATTTTAATCTAGCAATTCGTTGAAATTTTTTTAAAAGAAAAGATAAAAGCTTTTCTGACTTACTTCATTGACTTTACTTTGTCAGAGTCATTTTTGTAACATGTGATGCAGTATGGAAAGTCTAAAATTTTCTTGACAACCGGCCTGTTGATACGGAAGGGCAGCATCGCTAACGGCTTTGCACTGTCGTACAGATTTAGATTCGGAGGGACGACATACATCTGATTCTTATGCCAGGGACAAAACCAGTACGACCAGTTCTGAAAAGGATTTTAAATATTAGTACGACTTGTAAAAATTGCGACTACAGCATTTACTTACATTGACTTGAAAAACATTGTCATTAATGCCGACATCAGGTGACTTTACAAGTATCCCTTCACACTCCCAACACAAAGCACAATGGTCGTGCAAGTCCGAGCTGGAAAGAGTGAACGACAGCCTGTCGATTCTGTTAAAAGTCGAGATTGGAGAAGCGACTTCCGCTGCTGTTAACATGTACGAAACAGGTTAAATAACAGCTCGACTGATCAAAAAACTTTTTGTCTTACAATAATATCGAAAATAATGAGACGCTTTAAGCGCATTGTACAATTTGTCCATTGCCATTTCCAACATGATCGCACTGTAAAGTGGGTAAAAATTCCCTTTTGCTATATAAAAGCTAACAGCCTGTTTACAAGTGTTAGCTATCCTTGTCTGTATTTCTTTACATCTCCATACCTTAAAATTTTTCTCAGCTACATTTTTATCTATGTGTCTTAAGAATTTCCTACAAGAGCGAATTATTTTAACAGACAAATTGTAAGCGTTCAAAATTAAATTTTTGAATTACAAATCAATATTTCCATTTTTCAATTTCCCATCCTTCTTTCGCTCGATGCTGTTGTAGTATGCTGTTTTGTCGGTCAGGTCAACCACTAAAAGTAGATGTGGAATGAGTCCCAGCTCTTTCAACACACAGAGGGATTCATGTGTGCCTGGTGCCCCGACAAAAACCCATCCATAGCTCGTGCACCTGCAATTTAAATTAATTATTTAGTTTGAATAAAAATTGTCAGCTTTAGAAATATAATTATCTTTTTAGAACCCATGTTTAAATATTATTTGAATAAACAGATCTTTGAGGAATTCAATCGAGAACCATAGTTTTAAAACTACTAAAAGTGAGTCTTTATTTATTTTAAAATTTTCAAAATTGTAAACCTATTTAAAAAATTTCCGCATCATTTTTCAATTTTCATAGGTCCAAAAATCTTAATTACCAAGACTTCTTTTTCTTAAATTAGTATAAGTTCATTTAAATATTTAGGTGTTAGAGTAGGTATAAGGCTAAAATATTTTAACTGTAGTCTCAACTCATGATATCTAAATAATCAGTAATTATAAATATTTAAGACAAAGGAAAAACAATTTTACTAAAAAATATATAAAAGCTTTTAAGTTCTGTTACTCTCATACCTTCCACATGTTGAAATATACAAGTCTACGGCTTGGTAAACCAAGATAATCGGAATGCCTAGTCCTCTCCTGAGGTATTCATATATCAAGTTGCCCAATGAACTATTTGGAAAGTTGCGGAATAGGAAGCGCATTGCGATGTCCACTGTCACAATCTCAAAATTATACTTCTCTTCAAAATATTTTGCGACTGAAATCGAAAGAAATTTATTTTGTCTGTGTTCGAATTATCACGGTTGAATTTACCTTTGATTCGCCTGCTGAGTTCTGGCCCTATTATCATTATGCTTATAGGAATATTTATGCAGTACTGGCTATGTTTTATGTATTTCAATGGGTTCTCTGTAAATTTGACTTTGGCTTCCGGCGAACCTGTTGAATTCACTGATTAGAACAATCAATTTTAAAATAAATTAAATACAACAAAACAAACTTACTCAGAAAATAAACATATCTTTTATGAGCGACTACGATGGGCTTGCTCGGTAGTAAGTCATTGTGGTAAAGCAAGTTCTTTTCAAAGCACTATAATTTAAATGCATATTGATACTGAATTTAAAAAAAGTAAGAATTTTGAAAAAATATATTTTAACCTCGACTGGACAGCGTCTTCCAAATTTGCTCAAGTAGAACGTGCCATTATCAATATACTGTTCAACATATTTAAAATCAACGTTGTACACAGTTTCACCGTGTGGCCTGAAATAAGAACATGTAAATTGGAAACTTGTAACTTTCAAAATAAAACATCACGCACATTCTGTAATTGAGCAAAGTCTTCATGATTGTCTTCATGGAACGTCGTCCTGGCTTCACATCCAGCCACGCGTTTCCAAAAAGTTTTGAGTAATTCTAATTGTACAAAAAATAATCCAGTTACTTCCAGTCTAATTTATCATTTACTATTTTATCGACCGTTTACTATTTATTTAAATAGAAAGTTGGGTCAAGAAAAGCATAAAACAAACCCGCATTCGCTTAATTTGTAGAAATTCTTTCTTCAACGTCCTTGCGAGTATTTCTTTGAACTCGTCTTTATGTACTTCGTTCTTGAGTAACCCAAGGAGCATCGGCTTTGGATATTTGTTGTTCATGTACGTAATTACATAAGGGGTGAAGCGGCTTATATCACGGTATTTTTCAATAAGCCCCAGCAACCTTTCGCCATCTGATGGCATGAACTTTCGGTTCCTGAATTCGTTCAGAACCGGAAACCGGTTCACCAGCTCTGCCTGAATTCCTGTGCAATGTTCAATTTAGAACACTACAATCCAACTATGTATATACAATTTGACATACCTTTTAATGTTAAGCTTTCTGTGATTCTATGATCTAGAGTTCGATCTGCAAAGAGCTTGTCAACCTCCTCTTTAAGGTCAGTGAGGTGTGATACACCTTCTAAATCGAGTACTTGAACTTTATTCGGGTCTTCATCATCAGCGATGTAAAGCAAAGCTGCACTCTAAAAGTTACAACATTATTAAAAAGAAGTTCTACGAATATATTTATTTAAAAAAATAAATAAATACCTGTGAAACATAAATTACAAAAATAATAATAATAATAAAAAAGGTAGGTAATTAAAAACATTAAAAAATAATACTCCTCAGCACGGGAAAAGAGAGGAAAATCAAGACTTAAAGAGCTCAACTTACCCTGAATGCCCTGGAGACCACACAGAGGGTTGGTTTTGTGTTAAAAAAAATAAAAACACAAAAGCTTCATTTGAAAGAAGAATTGTGGTCAACCAACAAAATAACAAAAAAAATACACTATGCGCTACTTATGGATCACTAATCTGGTGGAACAAAGCTCAACAAAAAGTAGCTACCCAAACATTAGGCAGCCTACAAAGACTAGAAAACCTATATATCACAGGGGCAATGAGATCAACCCCTACAAACGCATTAGAAACTTTGCTAAACCTACTTCCACTGGAAATATTCATACAAGGAGAGGCTAGGAAAAGCTCACTTAGGCTCCAGAAACAATTAAATTCGAAAGGAACTAAAAAATTCAGGCAAACAACCATAATCAACAAAATCAGACACCCATTATTAGAAATGGGGACTGATTATATGATCCCGGAAACAATCTTCACAACTTCCTATAAAGTCTCAATGGACTATAAAGGAGAGGAAGAACACAGGAGAGCATCAGATGCAATGATGTGGTATACAGATGGCTCCAAAACAAACGAAGGAACCGGATCAGGCGTTTTCTGTACAAGCCCAAAACATGAGCAATCAAACTCATTAGAGAAGTACACTTCGGTCTTTCAAGCGGAAATACATGCCATCAATGCTTGTGCCCTGGAAAATCTTAAAAGAGGTTACACTGACAAAAAATCCTCATAAGATCAGATAGCCAAGCAGCTAATAAAGCATCAGCATGTAAAAGAATCACATCAAAATTAGTCAGTGAATGCATCCAAAATCTCCAAAACCTGGGGAAACACAACAACCTGATGATATCTTGGGTGCCAAGGCACAGGGGAATTTTTGGTAACGAGAAAGCAGACAGACTGGCCAGAGGAGGACCTGCAAGACCATACATAGGCCCTGAACCTATTCTTGGGATAATATAGAATTCTCCATCGCAGAATGGAACCAAGCAAAACAAAAGGAGAAGTGGATAAACTCTAGCGGTGCTAGACATAGTAAACATATGATGAAACAACCCTCACTGAGATTGGCAAAAACACTGCTGCAATTGGAGAGGGCTAAACTCAGAGGAGTGTTAGGACCATTAACCGGTCACTGGCATCTGAGAAAACATCTAAACAACATGAGTATATACAGCGATGATCCCATTTGCAGATTATGTAATGAGGAGGAGGAAACAGCCACTCATATCATCTTCGAATGCGAAGCAACAGCTCAATGGAGGTTTAACCTAACGTACGGAAAAAACTTAGGGAATCAAATTGCAGCAGCAACAGTCAATGACTGATACTTCTAAGAAGAAGGATTGAGTCTATTGACTGAACTAAGGAACAGGAAGGTACAATAAGCCAGAAGGCTGCAGTGCCTGGGGAGTACAAACCCTTCCTAGTATCCATTTCTACCATACCATACCATACTTATGAACTAAAAAAAAAAGAAAACCACTGTACAAAAGCTTCGTTCAAATCTAACACATAAAACTTATTTTCAGGTAAGTGTTCGTGCCTGTTATCACCGTCAATCCGACAGTCTTTCTGGAGAGCCTTCTTACTTGCCCCGACGGTGGGAAAGTCATTCTCATTATTACAGCACCGAATCCTGATTCCAGGATGGATCTGGCTGCAAATAAAGAGCAAAACCTGAGGCGCTACCAATCCTTCCATCGCCTCGGACTTCCTGGTCTGTTCGCCTCCTGATTCACCCTGGATTGTGCGCAAATTGTCCTCCCTGTGGCAGCCACAAATCCCATTCTGAGACCCATCCTGACTTGATGACCTCAGCTGGACTCGAAGAGGAAAATCCGACAAAACACCGATGTCTTTCCAGTCCATCTCTTTAGTCCTGCTGAATTCTGCTATTTTTTCTCTCTTATTGCTCTGCTCGTCCGCTACTGTATTTGTTCTATTTCTCACTTCTCTTCTTTTTTCTTCACTCCAGGGTTACATGATACTTTCCAATGCTGGGGAATTTTTTTTTTTTAACAGAGTACCAACTTCAAAGCTATATGAACCCCCAGAGTGTAAGACAAAAAGAAGAAGCCTGCTATGTTGGGTTATGTTGCAATGAGCCCCTTCCCCACTTATTGCTACATAATGATACATAAATTACAGTATATATATTTCTTTTTACCATTCCAGTTTCATTGAAGTGTGGGTCAAAATGCATTGCTTTTTTCAGTAACGCTTTCAGTCTCTTGAAAATGCAACTTGCGTCAATTTCTAGTAGATGTAAATATTTGTTTTTAACCTTCGATTTTAACATTTGTATCCCAATCAAACTCTGAAACAGGGTAAATAGTTTTAATAATGTAATCTTTATTGTAAAATCAACATTTTTAACATTCCTTCGACATAACTAAAAAAATCAGCAATTAACAAAATAAAAAATAAACATGTATTTTAGTAGAATAATGTAAATTATTTATATAACCTTGAGAAATAGTATCAAATTGCTGAAAAATGGTCTCATAGAAAAAACAAAAATTAAAGACACATTCTGGTAGTTTGAACATCAATGGAGTTCAAGGTGTATTATTCAGTTTGGATCACTTAACAGGAAAACTAACAGAAACAAAGTAAAATAAAAGTTATATGAAGTTTATTAATTTATATTCTTTTGAGAATTTGACCAATTTTATTATTGAGAAGAAGGCAAATTTAAAAATGCATGTGACAGACCAAACCAGCAATGGTAGGCAGACCAAAATGATTGGTAATGGCCAAACTGAATACATATTTAGCTTTTGTGATTATATATGTTTTTATTGTTTGTTGTATATATAAGTTGTAGTGAAAACTTACTTTTCGAAAACGCTGCATCTCATCTGGATTGAGAACATGTGTACTATGGCCGAGAAGTGATTTAGTTACAAGTTTACATGTCCCTTGGATTCTTTTGAGAGACTGAAAATGCAAAAGATTAAAATTAAATCTTTGTTTTGATTCAATAAATAGTTTTTTTAATTATCAGTGAAAAATCGGAATGGAGTTGTTTTATTGCTAAGCTTTCAGAAATTAATTTTACCAATTACTAATTTTATCTATTCAAAAATATAGGAAAATTTATCTGTGAGTTGTTATACATCTTATGTTGCTTATTCACCCGTTTCCAAATTTTAAGCATAAAAATCTTTGTTTATTATTGCAATCTTGTCTTACAGCAAATGAGTCTTGTTTTATCTCATCCTCTGAGGTTCTATGATCTTCCTGGATGTTCAGTGATTTAATTTTTCTCGAACCGCTCAGTATGCTCTGTTGGACAGGCTTCCCTTTCACTTCCACTTTTTTTCTCAGTTTTTCAGCCAATGTCTCTCTTCTGTACAGTGCCAGAGCTGTTTCTTCATCGACGGGAGTTGGAATAAATTCGTCATAATTTTGAAACGGTTCTCGAAACGAGAAAGAGTTATCAATCTAAATAAAATAATATAGACAAAATGTGTTTTTATTATGAAATAAAGATATATGTCAACTTACAGAATCTCCCCAACTCTGCCTCGAATCGGAGGTAGTGTCTTCCTCTTCTGACATGGTTGTATCATCCCTCTAGTCAAAAAATGAATTAATTTTTTAAAACTTGATTTAGGATTAAATGGAACTTACCTGAGGCTTTTGAATGTATTTGATAGAGTATTTGACACGTTTTGTACTGCGCAACTGCAACCATTTTGGTCAAATAACAATCAAATGTATTTTATAAATCAGACGTACTTACAGTATGTGGCATATAGAATATTTTCTTGACTTTCATTGACCCCAAGACAGACATGAACAATGGTTCTGTTGCTTCAACCTCAACCAACTCCACCTTGGAGCCAGTATTCACTTCTTCTTCCCCGGCGACTTCAGGAACAGGAACATCTTTTAACCTTTCATTTAACCTCTGAAAGGAAAGAAAAAACAAATATAAAATTGTCGTCGGAAAGGAGAAGGTAGATTAACCTTTAAATCTTGAAAAAAGTCAACAAGTATTCTTAAATATTTCCAGAAATTAAGAAGGTACAAAGCTTTCCAGTACACCCTAGTTTCTTGATCTGTAAATAGTTATCATACTAAGACAAGGAAATCGAAGTGAAACCAGATTTTTTTTTGTAATAAACTGATATTAAAAAGTAACTTATTTAGAAATACCTGAAATTAATCTTGCTTTATTCAACTCCCTTGTTCTTCTTTTCCACATCTCAAGGATTTTATTCTCCAATCTTTTTCTGCAAAGCATTCTTTTCCTCTAGAACATTTCAAGATTAGTATGGACTAAATTCATGTTCTTTTTCAAGAAAATAAAAATATCTGACTTTGATATTGATGATTATATCAGGCATAACATTTAGTCCGTGCATAAGGATGAAGTCATGTATGGAATACGGCATTTGGTGGTAGATAAAACCGCCTTGTTTGAAGTCTGGCAGGTAGAAATGAACCCAGTGCTTGAGAGGCATCCGTCTCTTGTGGTTCAAGTATGCATTCATAATCGTATTGTAGTGCATAGTGCTCAGCGTGTGATTGATGTTAGGGGGTAAAAATTGCCTTGTAAGTAGCCTGGAAGACAATTCTGCAACTATGAATCGACTAGATTAATTAAAAGAAACTCTTACTTTGGCTGTTCATAGTAAGGCCCGGTTGGATAATGGCCAGGCAAAAGCAGTTTTTCGTTAAACTTGTCGAAAAAGTTCATGTAAGTCAGCCCTAAATAATCGGCAATGACTTGAGCCACTTTGTTAGAACCACTTCCTGGTAATCCTAAAAAAAATATATTTATATAAATATACAGTCTATGATGACAAAAATTTGTTACCTAACACAGATATCTTCAAAGGAGAAATGTATCTGTATGGTTCTTCTATGTTTGTGTAATAATAAGGCCATCTTCTAAATTTTTGCAAACACAGCCTTGAACAAATTGGGTATTCCTAAAAAAAAAAAAAAATTCAAATTATCAATAAAGATATTATAGTATGTTATGAATAGTAGAAAGAAACCTTGTGCAAATAAGTTAGTAAGTTCAGAGCTCGAACGGTCATTCCTTCTCTCAGATGCACTACACACCAATACAGCTTCTTTTGGATAATCGGTTTTGTATGGGTTATACCAGTCTTATATGGCAGGGGGGTTTGTACTGTTTGCAGTTGATCTGTCCATAGTTCATGAAGCTCAATCGCCTTGTCGTGAAATTTGCCCATGAGCGCCCAAGATTCCATGGTTTCTTTGACTGATTTGTCAGTTTTCTCAGCAGCCGGCGGTTGTGGTTGTTCTCCTTCACCTTCATGCTCACCTGGATGTTCTTCCACTTCTTCCTGAGGACAAAAACAATTTATAATAAAAAAAAATAAATAAACGGTAAAAATGGAAATTATTTCTCTCACTGGATGGTCTGTGAAAAAAGTGGATGTAAGCGGTGACTTTGTTCTATGTACTGCTCCTGGTCCTGAAAATTAAAACATTGTATTAGTAAAAAAATCACAACACTAGTCAGAATCATTAATCAACTTAGTGAAGAATTAATTATTTTTTTTTGGGGGGGGGGTTTATGTTACCCATGACTTCTCAAACTAGCTAAAATGACCAGTATGAGTGGAAAGCGAGCAAGGCGGGAGAATGGGCACAGCGGTCGAAACCACACCCCGACAGCCACGACCGGCCAGGAGGAAGGGTGGGGAGTTTTCTTCTCTGTGTTAAATTTCTGCTTGGACAGACTCCTCATTGGAGGACGTGGATAAAAACCATTCACATCCAGTTACCATTAGAAAAGTCCACGTCCTTGAGGTACCCGGGGCTAATACGCCCTGCTCCCCTCCCCCCGCAACAACTATAGATTATTTATTTTTATTTTAAATATTTTTTTAAATTTTTACCTGAATTGTAAACTTCTGTAATTGTTACAATAATTATTGCAAATTACAAGCAATTTAGCATTAAGTAAACTTTACAATGGAAAGTAGATTGCCAAAAGGGCCGGCCAGACAGAAAGTGATCTGTTGTGACTGGAAGCAATCCAGAGGCTGTCATGACAGTCGGCGATTTTAGGCCACATAGAACGCAACAGACTGTGAATGTGCATGTTCGTTTGTGTTTTCATGTTTTTTAAAAATTTTTAACTTTATTTGCTAAAGTCAACTGTATTTTTTGTATCCTCCATTCCCTGACCCCAACCATACTGAGCACTACGAGGCTGCTCTCAATGTTACTACATAGAAACATATTTGTTACAGACAATTACCGATCTAATAGAAGGATCTATGGGCACCAACACATCTCGCTAACGATCACGGGCTCAACATCACCCAAAGACTGCTCTCAGGCTCACAAACCGCCCATGGAGGCAGAGGACTCCAGTGGATACTATTGTTATTGAATGTGAATTTGAACAAAGAACTTTCTGCTTTCGACTTTGCAATACCCAAAGAAAAGACGATACTGGGTTCATAAAATTAATAATAAAGACAGAACTACGGGAAAACCAATAAATATATAATTACTTTTTATTAATACTTAATTACTTTAATATTTCTGTTTGATCACTTATTTTAACTGTGATCAAACAACCTTTGACTCCTCAGAATTGCTATCATACCTCAATTTTCACGTCCCATCTGCCCACACCCGCAGTAGAACTGTATTTTACCATCAATTTTCCTGTACCAACTACACTTCTCGCTCTCCCGTGTACAAAATGATGGATCTGGTCAATAAGCTGCCTAACAGTATGGGTATTAATAATAGAACTAAAGCTATTTCAAAGAGGAATTTGAGAGGAACTTTTACAACAACGGTCAATTAGTAATCTGATGTATGTGTGTATGTATTGTATATGTGTATACTGGATGTATTGACTGATTTTTGTTGTGTATTATGTATGTATAATTCATTAATCTTATTTATAATTGTTTTTATTTACTAGTCAAATCCCAAATATTATTTTTGTACTGAAATATTAGTATCTAAATTATACTGTATATGTGTATTTTTATTATTGCCAGTGTTTAATATTTCAATGTTTTTCATGTTTTAAATGTCCTTTATCTATCCTTTAATTATTATTGTACAGTAAAATGGGTTATTGTGTGTAAATAAATAAACCTGTGACTCAAAGAAGCAAAGGCAATCTGTGATTTTGTACAACTGGATCGCTTCTCATTCAACAAAATTAGGCCGAAAGCAATAAATTTAGTTCTGCCTGACCAAGCTTTAAATTTTTTAAAATGTCTAATAACCATATTTTTTGGAAGGCTGAGAATATATATATATATATTTTTTTTTAACTACATATTTGGTAAGTAGTAATAATTTTCAATTTGATTGTTTAGTATTGCATAAAAAAGTTTCCATTGATTCTTTAAGCTGTTCTACTTTCATAAATGTTATCTCTCATCTAAAATTAGAAGCGTCCATCTCAAACAGCATAATAATAAGATTGAGTATGGAGTTAAGTTAAACCGAATGAGATACTAAATTTTTCTCACCATCAATCACATCATAAAAATCCGTAATATACTTTATAGGATCTGTACGCCCTACGTATCGTCTGTAGTACATGTTGCTTTTCATTAATCCCGATTGTATTACATCATTGCGAAGTTCATCCATTATGAGTCGTTGGTCTTGGAAATGTTTGAAAATCTTGCTTTTTATCTCCGAGTTCCAGTCTGCGAGTTCCTGTAAAGTAAAAGCATTCAGTTGACTGGTGAAATCTAAATTTAGTTTTTACATACGTTGTACAGTTCTGTCACTTCAGGCAGTTTGTAATTACATTCTCTCGGATTATAAATGTGTTTTTCAAAAATAAGCTTCTGAAAAGTGAAATTATTACGTTAAATATTTACCATTTAGTTGTTAATGTTAAACGTACTGGCAAGAGAGATATGTCCGAGAGTTTATGTTTCTTCTTGGTGAAGTTCATTTTTAGAAATTGACATTCAGGGTGGAAGTATTCGGTTGGACTTAGGGGATTTTCTCCTGTATCGATCATATCCCTCGAATCCCCTTTCTTTCGCATCGACCCAGCCGCCAGTGATGGCCTGTATTTTTCCGCTAGGCGGACAGATTTGTTCAGCTCATCCGAATCTCTGCTTTCGGTCGAGCTGCGGTTCGACAAATGACTGTTTGTCGTAATCCGACTATGCCTATTTGCGTCTTGATATCCAGTATCCGGCACAAAACTGAAAGAGATCTTAGAAACCATACTCTTTTCTCTTTTATGGGAGGCGCTTTTGAGCGTAATTGAGTCCAATGCGATGAATTGTTCGATTGAATCGTGCGAATAGATTAATTTTCTTTTTACATCAATCGAGTACTCGTCTTCCGAATCTGATGATACCAAGTCTTCATAATCTAAACAAAAAAAGCCGATTATTGAATTAAAGTAGTCGAAAACAGAACTGATGTATTTCATTGCTGTTTCAAATGAGATCTTTTTAATAACACTAACATTACAAGAATTTATTTTCAACTTTAAATTGAATAAATTATTGTTTTTATCTTAAGGCCTTGATTTAGATGAAAAAGTTAATGTCACAGGATTCGAACCCATGACCATTGGCTCAATACACCGCTGCTCTAACCACTTGAGCTATCGTGACTTTGATTCCCTCAGACAAGAATGAGGGAAAATTCGAAAGGTTGTAGGTTGAGATGAGGAGCTGGTGTCTGAGTGGATCGAAGTCACGATAACTCAAGTGGTAGAGCAGCGGTGTATTGAGCCAATGGTCGTGGGTTCGAATCCTGTGATATTAACTTTTTCATCTAAATCAAGACCTTAGATAAAAAGAATAATTAATTGAAATAATTAATATAGCCAATTATGGCTGCTAAACATATTTGATTTTAAACTGAATAATTATTTTTAGTGAATTAACATTTGCAATATTACTATGCTATTCTTAATGAAACTGAGAACTACTCAAAAGAAATTATTAATAAATACTTTGTAATTGGATGCCGCTGAACATGGAATTAGTTTTGCAAGTTTCCTTTAAAACTTCCTCCTCGGTCTCTTGATGTGATTTTTTGAAGTCGAGTTCATCTAAAGTTTTCTCTAAAACAACTGCCTTTAGAATGCTATTGTACATCTAACAAAATCGCTATCTTTAATTCAATTACCTATGGCGGTGAACCTCTCTTCTTGCTCCACGTACCTTTTATTGTTCACCTTTATCGAGAAAGATTCCATGTCCGGATCTTGCAGGTATACGACGAATGTGGAGCTGAGTCCTCGTTCCCAAAGGCCTTGCCACAGATATGAGTTGAGCGACACTCCATCTATAACCCATCCGCCGTAGCTGAAAAATATGTAAGTAATATATTCGATGTGAAATACAAAAGTATGAAGCTTGAATACTTGATCAGATTGTTGACTTTAGCCTTGTGCTCTATTTCAAAAATGGCCTGTGACAGAATATTTATCTCTTCGTGAACCGCCAACTCCTTTGGTGACTTATCGATATTTTTCCCTTGTTAAGTGAGAGAGAAAATTAAAATAACTATATTGCATGAACAAGAAAACAAGTTAATCATTAAAAAAAAAACTACATACAAACTTCCATGGCGAAAGAAGAAACTACAGGATGATGTGGATCTAGATGGTAGGGATTTATGTGCGGTTTGAGAACTTTGGGGCAGAAACGAAGAATACTGGAAATTTAAAAAGAAATAGTTAATTATGTTATAAACATAAATATTAATTTACAATACAACTGAGAATTTAGGAATAAATGCTTACCGAAGTGGATTTTGTAAGTACTTTTTTAGGATGGACTCACTGCTGAAATAAGGGATTTTATGTACTAAAAACAATCTTCTTGCATTTCGAATTTTTTCTTTATCGTTTTCTCTAAAAAGGACAAAATTATTCTAAAACAATATCTTAAATTGATCATTAGACTTACAAAATTAATATAAACTTAATTACTTAATATAAATTAATAATAAACTCTGACAATGCTTTTGTATGCATATGTTAAATTTGAAATATAAACATTTTATGTGGTATTTTCTGCATTGTTTGCCTGAATTTTGGGAAATTGGAATAACTAGTGTTCAAAAGTGCGTTTTTGTTTAGAACCGATTTTCCTGTTTTACAATTCTTGTACAAAAGATTCATTCATTCACTCAAGGTTTGTTCCGTCATGATGAGGTCTAGTTTGGAATTGGAAAGATGCATCGTTTTCAGCAGATTGATCTGCCTCCTGATCTGCTGGTCAGATGCTTTCTGTTCTTTCTGGGCAGTGGATTTACAGCACTCAACATTCATGTTACAAAGATCATCAGTGAGCACCGAAAACACACTATGTCGGGATACCACGGTGAAAACCCATTGAAATTTCACCATTTTCAGATAGCTCAAGGTGTTGCAATCTCTGTCTGTCCAGATGTAGAATCTTTTATATAATAATGAATATTGGTTAAATGGGATTGTTGGGGGGGGGGGTAACAGTTTAGGCATTGACTCTGGAATTTTAAGTCCGTAGTCAATATCCAATTTTATTTTTTATTTTTTTAAATGGCTTTATGCTTTACTATTAGCCATAGTACAGTAATTGTATGACTTTTTTTTGGGGGGGGGAGGAGTGTGAAAAAAGCCAGGGGCTACAGTGGGAATTGAACTATGACTACTGGGTCTTCAAGGCGAGGGTCTAACACACTAACCACTCGGTTTACATTAATCAACGTTCATCTGACAAAAATCATCAGTGAGGGCAGATGCACCAAAAGCGACCACAATGTACAAGATGTAGTACAGATGTACTACTGCCAAAATGCTACCACTATTTTCATATAACTCAAGGTGTGCTAGGATTTAGCCATGTGAAGAGTTTTGGCGACCTCCAGACTGACTAGACATCGAATTATTCATATAAAGATGAAATATTCTATTAAATGGGATTTGTAAGATTCACACAGTGCAGTGTCTTAATGTGAAGATACAGGAACAAAAATATTAAAACAAGAATGAAATTTGTGTTGGTAAAACGATAGTGGTTGTTGGTCGGGTAATGTGTTTTAATTGAATCCAGAAAAAAACAAAAAACACAAATGTGTCTAAGATAATTTTCTAGAATTCTAAGTGCATAGTCAGGGAATCGAACCCATGTCAAACACGCTAACCACTCAGCTTTCATTTCTTTGTTTGTTATGAAAATTTTTTTTCCCCAGCTTCAATAACATTCATCCTAGAAGAGGCATAGGTAAGCAGTATGAGTACAGATAGGTTTTTATGTTTAACCATCTTTTAAAGAAATGACCAACTTATAAAATTGGGGACCGCGGTAGTCGAGTGGTTAGCATGAGAGACTCAAGCCGTGGTCGTGGGTTCGATTCCCACCGTCGCCTCTGGCCCTTTTTTCACGATAACCCCCCCAATTTGAACACACATAAGAATTGTCACCATGGCTAATATGCATAGATCATAACGCCAAAAATAAAAAAAAATAAAAAAAAACATAAAATTTTCCTGAGTAACAATGTTAAAAGCAAAAATGATTCCTTCAAATGTATGAATATAAGTTTTGGTTCTAGGGAGAGCTCATTTCATATTAATTAAACAATTTTCTCAGTCATTAGTTGTTAAACCTAGTCACATTTAAATTTAAAATAATCGAAAGTTCGGATTGTGAAAATTACCCTGGAGGATATGGGAAGGTAGCAGGTTCTGTCGACACGACCTTATCAGTTATGTTTTTTATTATTTGTATATAAATTTCCTTTGTATTCTGTTCTTCTTCAGTGCTGTGAAAGGCGATGTGCTTGAAAAACCTACTGAATACGTTTGTCGGCTTCAGTTCTTCTATATCCGACATTGCCCCTGGAAAAAAAAAACACATTGAAACGATTTTACAAAAATAATTAATTAAATTAATTAAAAAAATTGAGGATTGTAATAAATTGTCTTTCACTGAGTCAAGTAAGAAACAGTACAGTAATAATAAAAAAGGAGTTGTTCTTGGATTAGTCGGCCATAGGGATTATCACTTTTATATTTTATAAAAAGAAAATTGTTAATAGGAGATATTGGCAAGACGCTGGATTTACTTTTTATTTTTTTTGGCAGTACGCATCCGTGTTTCCTGGGCAGTGTCATGATGTTTTCAGGCGGACAGATGTAAGCTCGGAAGTACATGAGCCGGAATGCCATAACAAACCAGTCGATGAAATCCTCATGCCTTTCGAATTCATCGTTCACGTAGACGTCCACACCGACGTCGTTGACGTACTTAAGACTTTCCGACCGTGTGATGTCGTCTAAGAGCTTCAGCTTCGCCTTGTACTTATACAGTCTCGCTTCTCGTCGTAGGCTTGTGAAATCTACGACCTGCATAAAAATCCACGTTAAAGACCAAAGTGGAGCGGTTGTTTTTTTTAAATAATTGTACCACTGCGTTGTAATAGCTCGCTATTGCTTCAGCGACGAACGTTTTGCCACAGATGGGATGCCCAGTGACCAAGACGTTGCACGTCGATATCGGGAAAGCGGGAAACAGATAGCGGTCAGGATCAATGACGAACTTCTTCAGGGCCTTTTTTGTCGACAGGAAATAATACTTGTCGTGGTACCTCGCAACGTATTTCGACCGCCCCCTCAGTAACAATCCGTGTGCAAAAGCGACCGGACATCGGCGGCCCCATGAACTTATTGTTGTCCTGTAATTAGTAATGAAAAAGTGTATAAGTAATTAAAACCAGTAAAAATGAAATAGCTAAATTTAAAATCACTCTTTGGTTTCACGACTGAATCCAAAAAGGTTGTATATGTCAACCTTTTACTGTCCTTTACAACGAGATACAATTTTCATTTGAGTCCGTACAAAGTGTATTTTATAATTCAACAAAATTTTATCCTGTTTGTTAAGCATGATTTTATGGCTCAAAAGCATCACTTTTGACTTTTCCCGCCTCACACAAACAAGTAAACCAAAATTTTTATCCAGAAGGGCTGTTTGGTTCAAAACTAGTTAAATTGTCTAATATATGCAATTACGTTTTTTTAGGAATTAGGATATATAAAGGCTCAAATCCACACCTATACATAAATACATACATATGCAGAGTTGTGTCTGTTATTCTCGCAGGCCGCCATTTCAGCTTTTGTAATTTGCAATAAATTTCCAGTAGCCTCAAGAATCACCACCCTTCCGGGTTTGGCAATCTGGGACAGACTTGGTCTAACCGTCCAGCCACCCGGATTGGGTTCCAGATGCTGCCAACATCTAGGTAAATTCAGCACCCAACGCATGCAGTTCCACATTTTATTAGACAATTTAGCATTGTGAATTAAACAAATAAGAAATTGGCTGAATATTTTTTATTTTTCTACTGATCTTTCACCAACACTATCATTTTTATTTTAAAAAATAATTTGTTAGCAACTTATACATATGAAAATGGATATACAAAAATCTGTGCGATAGTCTTTTTTCACATCATCGACACAGAGGAAACAGATTGGCACTTAATATACGGGATTAAGGGGCGTGGAGGCCTCGAGGCAGTCGTTTAAAGCAACATGGTGGGTTTTCAGGATGGAAAAGTGTATACAATGGGGCTTGCGCAATAGGGTTGGGATGGATCAAACAATTTTTCAAGTTCTGGTTGTCTTCCAGTTGTTTTTAGATCTGTAGTAAGCCCGGGCACTAAAGACATTCCCAAGATTGGTGTGAATATTTCGGAAGCACGGTTGTACCAATTCGTTGACAAAAGAATGATGATGTCGTCGTGGGTAGTGAAGCTACGTATATTTCGACAACACCCAAGGGTTTGGAACATTTATCCGAGAACACTCCATTCCGAATGTCCTGACTGGTCGCAGTAGGTTTCCTAGTATGCCTCAGTTCCATTCTGTATGTCCTGACTGGTCGCAGTAGGTTTCCTAGTATGCCTCAGTTCCATTCCGTATGTCCTGACTGGTCGCAGTAGGATTTTGAGTACGCCTCAGTTCCATTCTGTATGTCCTGACTGGTCGCAGTAGGTTTCCTAGTATGCCTCAGTTCCATTCCGTATGTCCTGACTGGTCGCAGTAGGTTTCCTAGTATGCCTCAGTTCCGTTCCGTATGTCCTGACTGGTCGCAGTAGGTTTCTGAGTACGCCTCAGTTCCATTCTGTATGTCCTGACTGGTCGCAGTAGGTTTCCTAGTATGTCTCAGTTCCATTCCGTATGTCCTGACTGGTCGCAGTAGGTTTCCTAGTATGTCTCAGTTCCATTCCGTATGTCCTGACTGGTCGCAGTAGGTTTCTGAGTACGCCTCAGTTCCATTCTGTATGTCCTGACTGGTCGCAGTATGTTTCCTAGTATGCCTCAGTTCCATTCCGTATGTCCTGACTGGCCGCAGCAGGTTTTTGGGGACCCCACAGTTCTATTCCGAATGTCCTAACAGGTTGCAGTAAGTTTCAGATGACCTCACAGTTACATATCGTATGTACAGGTCGCATTATGCTTTGTGAGTGGATACCACACCAGTACGCTGTCTAGTAGTCTAGTCCTAAGTATCTTACTTGGGTGGAAGCTGGAAGCCCCTTGTTGTAGAGTACAGTGGAGGCAAGACTTGTTTTCAACATTTTTCCTCATTCGGTCTTGTCCACGACTCTTTGCAACAGTTTTTGATAAACTCAATGTGTTTTTGGATGCTGGAAGTTGCTTATATTTTTATATAATTACTTTTAATCATATTTTTCGAAAGGTATAATCGTATTGTATTCAAGGATTTTTTTGGCCACATTTATTGCCGGTTTTTTTTTTGCCTAACCTTTCGGCATTAGCCATATACCTATTTTATTCTTATATCGTGACTATTTTTTTCGAATTTGTTATAGAAAACTTATGACGTTGAAGAAATTGTTTAGAAAAAGATGGTACGTTAATCATATCAATTTTGAAAAAAAAAAGCCCGTTTGTAAGTATGTCGGGTTCAAAAACAGGGCCAAATCGATTCGTACCCGGGACCTTACATTGACGAGCTCCGTGTCAACGCCTAAACCGTTGCGGCACACATTTTTGTTATTCAGTTTTTTAAATTTAAGTACATCCTGTCATTATGTGTGTCAACCCAATAAAATTAAAAAGATATTTTCTGTTGTAGAGGCAAGAACTGCTAAGAAGCAATCTTTTTATTTCCTACTGACAGTTGTTTTCAGCGATCCGGATTTCAAGCTTATAGCTCATCATCAGGTTAAAGGAGTTTAATGATGAGCTATAAGCATGAAATCCGGATCATTGAAAACAACTAACTGAGAGTAGGAACTATCTTTTTAAAAAGATTGAATAACACATTCATTCCAACATCTATCATTTCTATTGCTAAGAAGCATTCGACATAGCTTCGCAACAATTGAACTCTCGGTCATAAAATACACATATCTATTTGAAAGTGTTTCTGCAGTTGTTAAAAAATGGATTAGTTTTGAACTGAACTGAAATATTGTCACCTGCTGGTTTTTACATAATCATATGTGAAATCATATTTAGATAATCTGTTCTGTCATTAGTTTGCATATGTAAAACAAAAGAATAAATTACCTTAAGTTAAGCGATTTAGGCACATTAGTATAAAGTTCATCGTCGGATGGGGGGTCCACGTTTTGTTTGTATTTTTCATAGCACTTGATGGCGTCCTGAAGGTTCAGATATCTGAGGTATCGTATCCTTTCGTCCGTAGATGCCGTTTCCTGTACAGCGCGGTATTTTTCTGCGAAGGTCATGGCTTCTGTGTGATTAACCTCCCCTTCGGCGGTCGCGGCGGCGCCTACGGCTTTTAAATTTTCGGCGCTAGTTTCTTGCATCTCCTTCTCGACTGGTTCTTTGGACTTCCGGTTAGCTTCATCGTTGTCAGGCACCTTTCCGAGACGCGACCCTTCTAAAAACTTGTTCAAGTTCTCTTCGAACTCCTGTTGGTCGCTGTCGTATTCCTCGAGTTGGGCCTGATCCTGTTTGTGTTTAGTGATAAAAACGCCCACTACTTCGTCTTTGCCCATGCGTTCGATGAATTCCCGGGCCTCTTTGTAGTGGGTTTCCTCCGGGAACGTTTGGCTCAGCTGCGACCCGAAATGCACTTGAGGAACTTTGTAGACGGGAAGGCAATTCATACGCGACATTACAACCTGACGAGGAAGAAGAAAAAAAGGATTACGATCGGGTAGGATTGGCAAGAAAGAAAGGATTTACGTGTAACTGGTTTGCGCCCGGAGTGACTGCTTTCACCCTGAAGACGAAGTGGTGGTCCATATGGTTCACAAAACGATGAATAGGTAACACCGCTTCGTAATAGGCGTTTATGTCCTCGAACGAATTGTATATGCGACTCAGATTGAAACTGACCGGTTCGGGATACTCTGGTATGATGTGGGTATTCTGTTTATTGTGTTTATATACATCCACATCTTTGAACTAAACAAATCACCTCGTTAAAATTTCGGTTTCGACAAAAGTACGGGATGTTTAGAAAGCTAAATTGTTCGACACCGCGAAACAAAAAGTTATACGATTTACCTGCAAAACCTCAAGAACCAAACTCTCCTCGAAGGACAAGGATTTGCCAAGTTTGTGCCAAATTTCATCCCTCGGGTCCTTCTTGTACTCTTTCCTTCTGGCCTCAAATTCGTCATTTCCGGTGTTGGTGAAGTTTTGGACCATTTCGTACGGGTACATGGGGTACACCGAGTAGTCTTCGTATATGCTTTCCAGGTCTGGGATGGTAGCCTGGATAAACAAGATTAAAATTCAAATTAAGAAAAGAAAAAAAACAAAAAAACGAACGAACGACCTCACCTCAACATAAATGACCACGTCGGGAGCGAACCTGGCCGAGAACACCTTATTCAACACGGAGAACACGTTGTCCGGGGTGGCGTACTTGCAGTACTGGATGCCAGTCAGAACGTAGCCCCTCTTGTACACGGCGTACGACTTGAGCTTCCTGATGATCAGCTCGCCCAACACCCTGGCAGGAACGTGAGCATTTTCCGACGAGACTACCGTGTTGTCCTCAAGGATATCGTACTCTATGTTCTTCGTGCTGTGTATGTTCTTGAAATACTCCTTCACCAGAGACCTCGCTTCAAGAAAACGAATTTTGTAAATACTTGACGAAATACAACAAAATTTATACACAACGCACAATCTATTTAATTTTATTGTTATCTAACGGCCAAGCATATGTGGCTATTAAATAAAACAAGGGGTGTATCCAAGAATTGGTTAAGGTAGCAAAAGTTCAGGATGGAATTCTCTATCAAGTTTCAACAGCTTGCGTACAAAAAACTAATATAACTAATAACAAAATAATAAAATAATTCGGTGATGTTTGTTCCGTAGATTCGTACGCTTATAATGTAGCATGCATGTAAGTAAATAATTGGTGTTGGATCGTACTTACGTTCTATCAACACAGCGCCGTATTTTTCAGCAAGCCTCTTCGCTAATGGACAAGGAGCGACCATGGAAGGGCCGACGACAAAGAAGGACATGGGTTTAGTCCTTACGACTTTCTTCATAGCCAGGCGGTCGTTGTAGCAGTCGTTGTATTCGTAGCCGATGGCGTGCCTGGACCTCGGATATAATTTTATGTCCGACACCCTTTCCGACATTCTTCTCATGGGCATGGTGTTGTCCCAGGGGCACTCGAAGAAGTAGTCCTCCGGACTGGAAGCACCTGCTACGTTGACGTACTTGTAGTTGTCCTTCAGTGCGTTGAACGCGCTCGGCACCCTCTGCGATCTGAAAAAGCCTTCGGCTCGCTCTTGTATCCGGCTGTCTTCTTCGATATCGATTCTGCCGATATTTCTGAAGCAAGTGCCCATTTCTTCCGAAGGGAAAGGATGGTCCCCCCTCCTCGATTGAGTCACATTCAAAATATTCTCCATTCTTTGATGTTCCGTACCGCTCTAAAACATACAATAAACATTTATTATTATTATTATTTGTTTTTACGAGGGTATTTCAACTACGAGGTTATATGAATCCTCGATGTGCCGGTGTTTTTGGAAAAAAAGTCCGCTGGATTCGAACCCGAGACCTTCACCTTACAGTGATGAGGGCGGTTTCAACGCCTAAACCATTGCGGCCACCGACGTATGCATGTATTTTTAAAAGTATGTCTTTCAAAGAACCCTATTCTTACACTTGGTTTGAACATAACTCTTTTTCAACGATTATTTTCCATTTTTTGTTGCATTCTACCATTTCAGCTTACTTTTCTAAGCTATAACTATAAGATCTTCAAGAAAAATTATACATGGCCAAAAGTGAGGGAATAGCAGCTTGGTAACTCATGTTTTTTTTCTCCGTAGCATTTAAAGCTTTGCCATTTTCATAAGAAACTTATTTTTTAAAAAAGTTTACACATTTTAAATTTTGTACAGCATGTTGTCTCCAGCCACATCGTGCCCAAATAAAAAACTGCAGTTTAGCAACTGTATTTGGAAGTTTTAGAAGATCGTTGCTGGATTCGACAGACGCGTGCAATGACAGGTGGATTATTACTTTTAGAGTTAGTTTTTTGGTGGTTTAGTTTAGTTAGTTTTCTTTAAAATTAGTACTTAGAATGATTACTTTTACATATTCTGATCTTCTCTTTTGAATTTAAGCTAACTTAGCCATTATCGCTTTGATAATCATCAAAGTTGAATGGATTTTAAGAAATGCTTAGCATAGTTAATAGCATCAAGTACTACCTTATTTGTGAACAAAACTCGACGAAAGCAAGAGTCTCTTTCTCAGGAAATATCTAATGTAATTACACGTATCTTTGGACCATTTGTCATACCTCTTCCAACTACTGCTAAAATAACACTAAACTAAATCAATTGACTACAGATTGTTTGTATTTTTACATCAGTAGTTTGTTATTCAGCTGCCCTTATGATGATGATGGTGTATATGAAGTTAAAATCTTATCTTCCCATCTAATATTTATACAGTAAAAAACCGATAATTTTTATTTTTATGATAGATTCTTAAAGTAGAGCTTAAACAAATTTCAAAAATGCTGTATACATTGAACTAAAAAATTTAAATATAAAGTTCACACCTGTTTATGTTTTTGTGTATATTTAAAAAAAATAGTGGATGGTAAAAAAATAAATCGATGTGAAAAGAACGAAGTATGAATGGAAGAAATACATTTGAAGTTACGATCTACCGAAATTCTTTGAGAGTTAGTGACCGGCAAGGAAGTACTTCGATTGCAAGAACAACATAAACATCATTTAGACCATAAACAGCATTATCAATAACAAAAGGTAACTAATTATGTATTAGCTGAAAGCAGCGTCAAGAAGAACTTTTGAAAATAACGTTCGACCCGATCTCCTCACTTATTTGGCGATCTTCACAAATTATTAAGATAGCGACATAACGAACAGAATATATAAAGAAAGATTGAAAACCTAATTATCTACACTAAAAGCCTTAAATGGAGAACTCTTCAAGGATCTGTTTTATCAATCAGTACATCATGACATCACAATCGGCTCCTATAGACGTCCTTCAAGATGACACAGTGTATGGTCAGTTGATTTCATGACAGGTGAATCACATTACACATCATAGCAATTTCACTTTAAAACTCAAATGCATCCCCCTTGTAACCATACTACCTTATCCTAAAGTCCAACCTTACCTACGCTCGGTTCTTCCCATTCACCCATGATAGGAATTCACCAAGGGCAGTGTTCTTAGTCCAATCCTTTATTTAATGTATACTACAGACATTCCTAATAATCCGAAATGCTTTTCTGTTCACATTTGCAAATGGTACTGTAATCCTGTTCTCCCACAATGATCCTATCCTTGCCGTTCGTTCCATAAAGTCTTACTTCACCGTCCTTGAGCATTGGCTAAAGAAGTGGAGTTAAAGTAATTGAAAATAAATGCTTCAAATAAACAGGTAAAAAAACTAAATGAAACACGTAAACTAATCAAAAAGTTCATAGCAGTAAAGTATCTTTGCACTCGATGGTTTTTAAAACCTGCTGGAACTCCTCGTTCTTTTTTTGAACTTCATCGTTCAAAATACATTTTTAATAATTAGATTTGTGCATGTTATAAGTGTTAAACTGAAAGAGGTCTTGGTCCATTAGGGTGTTGGGATGCCCAGTGAGTGAGGAGTGGAATTTGTTGTATCTTGATTTGATGGCGTGGGAAACATGAGGGATGTTGAGATCATGGTGGAGGGTACGATTGGACACAGAAAGGAGCATTTGTAATACAACAGAGGATTTTGGACTGGACGGATTGGTTTATAGAAGTTGGATAGTTTGGCTGATATATTTCCATACAGTAAGTCCACGTCGATTTGAGTAATGTGTCGTAGATTAGACTTTTAAGGGATAGTTTGGGTCGTCTGTCTAAAAAAGGAGAAAGAAGTTTGTATTGTCTATCGAGTACTTGTCGTTTAAGCCAAGTATGCGGATTACACGTGTGGCTTTTTTTCGTTAAGTAGAGAACAAAGTTTGTCGTGGGTAGAGGAACACGGTTGAGGTATACAAGATCGCCGTAGTATGAAATTAATGTACTTGATTTATTTTTACCCTCCAATTTTTTATTCAAGGCTCAAGGATGGTAAGGTGAGATTGTAGGGACAGGATTATTGTGGGTGGACAGGTTTGCAGTGTCATTTGCAAATGTGAACAAGGAAGTATTTTCGGAGATTATGTAAATGATTGAACCAAGAGCACTACCGACTCCTGCAGAGATGGATGGATGAGTGAATGGGAAGAACCGTAGTTGCTTAGAAGTAAAGGGCGGCATGGTAGGACCTTAGGATATATTAGTAGGTGGTAGAGAGGATGCTTTTGAGTTTACACAGCCTCCCAGCATGCCAGACCTGATTGAATGCTTGCGCAACGTCCAGAATTTTTGCAAAGGAGGATGCGATAACGTCAACAACACGGTGGCTTTGTTGAACTGCACAGTGCTGATGTAGGAAAAATAATTATCAGGGAATGATTGACGGAAATTAAGTATTGGATAAGGACATTGTATGAGGAGTTTTTTAAGGATCTTTCCCATCAAGGGAAGGATACTTATAGGACGAAAGGACGAGACGTTGTATAATGGGTTGTTGAGTTCCAGGATCATAATTAAAGGAAATTTCCACAGGGTTGGGAAGTGCGAAGAAATTATCAACCATTTCTTTTTTAATAATCTCTAAACCCTAAGTATATGTCAAAACGCATCTGACAGAAGACAAAACTAAAACCCGAATTGCGAAATTTTCTCATAGGGTCTACCGCAGTGAACCTGTAGTTTGGGCCGATCATTTTGCTCTTCCTATCTTTGTTATTTTGGCCAGTCAGACGCATTTCAGCTTCTCGCCAAATTCAGGGTTCGGTTGGATTCGAACACTTCTTTCTGCTTATAACTCTGACCTGATCTAATATACAAACAGACCAAGTACCGGAAAAAAATATCGGCGAGGATAGGTAAATTAATGTGATAGGAAACGACTAAAGTAAAATCCAAATGTGGGGCGCACCAGTGGCACTGACATGTCGACACTGTAAGGGTCATGTGCTCGAAACTTAGTGTCTAAGTATTCGAACTATAAGTACTTCCGAATAGGGTTTTTTCACTGGAAAAACACCGGAAGTTGATATTACCTTTGAAGTACCCTGTAAAAAATTACAATTCCAAAACAAAAAAAGGACGGTACTCCTAAACAAAACCAACAAAACCATATACAGACCATTTCTCACTTATGGCAGTAAAAAAAAGAAAAAAAAGACGGTACTAAAAAAAAAAAAAAAAAAAAAAAAAAAAAANCAGACCTCGTTTTATTTATGGTAGTCAAAAAAAGGACGGTACTCCTAAACAAAACCGTATACAGACCTCGTTTTATTTATGGTAGTCAAAAAAAGGACGGTACTCCAAAACAAAACCATATACAGACCAATTTTCACTTATGGTAGTCAAGCATGGTGTAGTGCATCAAATATATCGATAAAAAGATATTCTAAAATACTAAAAATACCGGGCCTGAGGCTTATTTCCAACAGCGAACTATACAGAGAATGCGTGCCTAAAAATTTATCAATAAGAAATTCAATAAACTTCATTCAAAACCACCTCAAGTTACTGGACGCCAAATTAGACAGCCTGCATCTTCGTTTAAGCCGCGTTTTTTTCAAGATTTAGTGGAAATTGACTTTTAATCTAGATGAATTCTAGCGAATGTACAAAGTTTCTATATGCCTGTTTAAATTTTTAATTTTTTTTCTAAAAATAATAAATTTATTATTTCAGAATAGTTTTTTTAGATCAAAAGTGAATTCACAATTTATAAATTACTTATATTAGATATATCTACTGTATTTTCCAAATAAAGTTGATTTACTTTTATATATTTAACTTTATTTAAATTACAAGCACTACATATAACCGTACAATTAATTCACTATTTTCGTGGTCCGCTTGACCAATTAATACATAACAATTAATTAAGGTTTTTAGTTGAGATGAAAAAAAGTTAATGGCACGAGAGGGATTCGAACCCACGACCTTCGGCTAGATACGCCGCTGCTCCACCACCTGAGCCATCGTGACCTCGATCCACTCGGACATCAACTCCCCATCTCAACCCCACCTTATGAGTTTTCCCTTCTTTTGCCATTTTTCAAATGTCGTGTAATCGGTTTGGATTCTCGACGACAATTGAAATGGCGACGGAGAGCTTTAGTGAAGTGTACTTCATGAAAAATGAAACCGTACAATGTTGAGCTAACAAAAAAAAATAAATACAATTTATCACAAAGTATTGTAAAACAAGAGTTTATAGAAATTTTTAAACGCATCTTTCTGCACATTTTGAATTTTATATCGCACAAAAATCCGGTCTCTATAACATAACAATGCGAAAGCTCTCGACCGGTTTCTTGACCGTTCACGTACTTTTGTAATTTAGCATACCTCGTCGATTTTTTTTATCCTGGCATAAGTTCAGTTCGAATTATTACAACCTTGAATGTTTCCTCGTAATGCAATAAAGTATTTTGAATGGATGGCACAAATAGATTTACTGCTCAACAATTTAAATTCTTTTCAACGAGTTGAACATAAGTGAATAAAATCCTCGTCCCGCCGAACCGGTCTAGAATCGCTTCTCCATTAGGCATCAGTGTCACTCGGAAAACTGATCCTTCTCGACAATAATCGTAAATTAAGCCTGGTAGATGATATTCTTGGCAAATCTAAAAACACCCGTCCATCCCGGAGTACTGAGTAGCGTTTTAACGACGGTAAAGTCCTCTACCATCGGATACGAGAAGATTCCCTTTTTCTCCGGTTGTTTTTTTTCCCCACCCCCTTTTAAAGGGACGAGGAGCAGGCATACTCGACCTCTTTATTTTTCAGGACGGGGTAAATCTGCGAAGGAGGTAACAAGTAGGAGTAACAAGTGGTTGTAGGGACCGTGGTGGACACTCTTTTCGTCGAGGGCCCATTCAAATCGCCTCGCCCACCAACTGTCTGTTTACACCCCTTAATTTCACCCTCTTAACCGGATTCCATTTTTTCCTTCAAATATTGACCTATTATTCGAAGTTTATATTTCTTATTTCTTTCCAATACGTGCTTTTGCTTTACACACACGAATAAGTAGAAAGAACAAAGAAAAAATAAATAAAAATAAGGAGGTTATCGGAAATATATAACAATTTTTTTGTTATTCTGTTGTAGTCGTATTAAATACGTTAAATTGATTTTGTTTCAGCAAAACCTTAACTGGGCTAAATCTAAAAATATCTCATCACTATTGGGAAATAGTTTATTTCTGGATTTGAAGCCTTGAACACCTGTGTAAGCATCGTACATGCTACCTATTAC